TGCTGGGCCAGCAGCCTCCAGTTTGTCCTCTGTGAAGTGGCCCAACCTTGTTTTAAATATGTACAACAGACTGCCTCACCTCCCTGCTCACAGCCCTACATTGCGGACCCATTTCCTAGCAGACACGGCAGCTTCCCAGCATCCTACATGGACCAGCTCAGCTAGTCCCTCCTCTGCCACCCCACTGACTTCCTATTTCCCAAATGGCCACCCTGCCTCTTGCCTTGGCATGCTTGTACGTGCTGTTTGTGCTGTTTAGAACACCCCCCACCCAGCACCCAGCAGGATTCCCACTCCTAGGACATTCCCCCAAGATCCTCCTCCCCCCAGGGCAACCCCTCAGGACACTCTCCTCATAGGACCCTCTCCCCGAGGATACTCCTCTGAGACACCCCTTTAAGATACCTCTCCCTAGCACAGCCCCCCAGGACACCTTCCCCATAGGAACCCCCCGGGACATGCGCCTAGGACAACTCCCAAGTCACTGTCCCCCAATCTGGATGATGGCAATCCCCTCATATAGTCTTTCATGCCCCCACTCAGGGCTACCAAAACCTCCATCAGACGAGGTCAGGGCTCTGCGGGGATCCCTCCAGGATCACGTCTCTATTTGCATGCTAGGCTGGAGTCCTCCCCAGGTGACTAAGTCCTCCGTGGCCCTGCACTTCACCCCTACTGCATAGCCCCCTTGCTGTCCCACAAACCCACCAGGCTTCCCGCAAGCACCCTCACTGTTGGAGCCTACATCCCCTTTGAGTCTTGCTCAGATATGGGCTTCCCCACCCCGAGTGCCCCAGCTCCTCCTGGCCTCCTTACCTGCACAGCACTGATGCACACTTTGTAACATTGTTCTGGTCTCAGTCCCCTCCCCACTAGCATGCCGGCTCCTGGGGCCAGGAGTGTCGTCCATGTGGGCCTCTCCTCTACTCCCAGCACCCACCACAGTGCTGGAATACAGCAGGTGCTCAGGAAGTATTTGTGGAAGGCTAGGCCTCGTCCTGCCTGTCATAAACAAGGAGGTGGCACTGGTGTGCTTCAGTCCTGACGTTTGTGGATTCTATCCCTGGGGCCACGGGCACACCTAGGCCAGGCACGCTGCTGTCCACGGGGCATTCTCACCACGAGATCGGCATGCAGCAAATCATGGTGCCTCATTCTCTGGCTTGTGGACTAGGAAATGCGGGAATGAGTGTTGTTACCACTTCAGAGGAATGACAGGTGACAGGAGAAAGGCCAATTTCTGACCGAGCCTCTAGCCCGCTTCTCTCCGGTTCACAGAAATCTCACGCCCGGTGGGTTGCTGGGAGGGAGCCCGGCCCCAGACCAGGGCCCCGGCAGCGGTGGGCAGCAGGTGAAGACAAGCATGTCTCATCAAACACAGGACCCCACAGGGCAGGACACACAGAAGGTGACACAAAAGCCAAAGCCATGGGACCACCATCTGTGCTGCCTCAGGCTCCCTCCTCCAATCTGCTCATGTGCTGGGGCCTCAGGAGGGACCTGCATCTTCAGAAATGCTGGGTTCTCTTTCTAGGGGTCACTGAGTCCCCTGGGTGGGGTCCCCAGACCTCTGTGCCTTTGTCTTATGGGAGAGGAGGCCTACGTCACCTTGTGTTCTTCTGAGGACGATGAGTGTCATCCTGTAAGGCTCAAGACCCTCTTCATATAACAAAAACTCAACACCATCCCCTCCCTGTGTGGAAATCAGGTTCACTGGTAGCACAGCATACCACACACACTGTCCAGGTGAGGCAGGAGGTGTAGAATAAAGGAAAATACAAGTAACTATAATACAACATGGACTTCACTGAGGCCCTCTTTGGCGGAGGTGGCAGTGCCCGAAAGACGAGTGTCTTGTCACCACTGCTGCTCAGTCATCTGCATCTCTGCTGGGGAACGGGGCCTGGGCCACACTCACCTCTGCCTCTCTGCTGCCTAGCATCATGTCCAGCACATAGTAGGTGCTCAATAAATGTTTGGTGGAGGGATGGATGAATGACTGAATGATGAGTTCAGTGTTGGGTGAGATGTGCTGATGGTGTCATGAGTGGGATGAGTTGTGCCCCCGCTCCATTAGCCCACGGAGGCCCCGGGCGGGTGGTGGCGGGATATGCACGTGTGCTTGCTCCCGTTGGCGTCTCTGCCTCTCTTAGCTCCCTGCGTGCTTCTTCGGGGCAGGGGCTGCTCTTGTCTTCTCGGTGTCCCCCTTGGCGCCCCACACAGCGTCTGGCACAGAGTGGGTGCTCAATAAATACCCGTTGAATTTAATGCATCTCAATTCAACAAACATTTATTGAGCGTCCACTGTGTTGAGTGTCACAATCCTACCTTCCTTGGGCGCGCTACAGATGGATGTCCCAGGGATGCGGGTGGGCGTGCCTTGCTGTGTGCAAATGCTCTGTGCAATCACAGTTCTTTCCAAATGGAACTGGTGTCAAGGGAATCGCTTTGGGAGCTACTTGGGGGGAGTCAAAGGAGCCCCGAGAAAGGAGGGGACATCCCCCTCAGGTTATGAGTGCTGCCCATCCTGCCCCAATTTCTCAACAGGCTAGCACATAGCAAGGCACGCTTGATGTAGGCATAACCAGTAGCCTGCGTCCTGGCTGCTATTCCCACGCACATCAGGAAACAAGGCAACGTCTTCAGGATGGAAGTAAAGGCACAGTTGTAGCAGTTGCACAGTGGGTTTCTCACTCAGAGGAACCGGCATCAGAACACCGTAGAAAGCGAAGGAATGACAGAACCATCATAATCATCTTAAGCAAGCATCAGTGAAGGGGAAGGCCATGTGCACACACATGTACACCCACACGCATACAGGCATGCACACACATATATATGTATACCCACACGCATACACACGCATATACATGCATACATATACACACGTTTCTACTTTGGAGAAGATTCCTTTGGAGGAATCTCCCCAGTTAAAGCATGGATTCTGACACAGGTGCGGTACTTCCCGCAGGCCAGGTGCAGCGCTTCCTACAGGCCAGGTGCACCCTGAAGAGGAAGCACCAGTGTCCCCACCTGTGGTTGCCCTAGCTGCTAGTGATGAGAAGACAACAGTGATGGGCAGAGGACGAGCTGAAACAAGACCTTGCAGGTGTGTGACTGGCCAGTCAAAACAGTGCACACAGCCTGTGGTCCCCATGGGGAAGGGGTATCCTCCCACCTATGAGACTCCTGGGACAGCCCTGGGGCACCCTGTCCCAGCATGTGCGGGCAAGGAGGCAGTGCACCAGGGTGAAGGCAACACGCAAAGGTGACAGGGAGGGTGAGCGGCACAGGGAGGCCCCCTCCTGGGCAGGCTTCTCCCAGTGTGGTGCCCCCTCCTCCCTCAGATGGGCTGCAAACAGAAGTGGGGATATCTGCGTCAGCAGGAGGTGGGGGCCTAGCACCACCCAGCAAGGGGAGGATAGGAAGCCATAAAAGGCCACCCTCAGGTCCCCAGACACTGGCTTCCTGAGAGCTCCTGGGCCTCGTGGGTCACACCATGACACCCCACAGGTGCAGAAGGGCGGCCGGGGTGCTGTGGGGCCAGCGCAACAGGAGCCCATCACCTTCCAATACAACTGCCAGTAGGAGAAAGGGAACACAGAGCAACAAGGCCCATGGTCTAGGCCGGTGGCCCAGGGCCCGTGTGCAAGTCCTATAGTGCCCAGGCCAGTGGGTGCCTGGGAGCAGAGAGGGGCTGGTGGCTGTGCTGCAGCTGCCTGGCTGGTCTGTGCCATGACCGGCCTTGGCCCTGGGCACCCTGCCTGCAGGTGGGATGAGCAGCCTGCCGCGTCCTTCCCAGATCTGCCCCAGGAGGAGCATACCACCACCTCGGAAGAGTCACTCTGGGGGACTTTCTGACGCAGCCTTCCCGTGGTGACATCCACCCCATGTGCCAGCCCAGAGAGCCCCACATGGGCTGGACCCCAGGCAGGGCTGGAGGCACAAGGGCTCACAGATGTCTGCTTACAAAGATCAGACACAGAACAATGCACCTTTGCTTTGCTTTGAGCTCTTCTTTGACAAATGGCAATGCCCGGGCTTCTTCACCCCTTCCTCCTCCCACAGAATACTTTCATTTGTAGGACAGGTTACAGTTCATAGTCATGAGGATGAGAATGACGATGACAGTCTGTTTGCTGAGCATCTACTATGGGCCAGGCAGAGTGCTGGCCCAGTCACCTCCTCTGGTCTCTACTGACTTGGCCAAGCAGACAGGGGAAACTGAGGTCCAGCAGTGGGGGAGCGGCCCGGGGTCTGTGGCTCATCAGTGATGAACACGGATCAGAGCTCAGGCCTGTCTCACGGCCAAGCTGGCATCTGTGCTCCGCCTTCTCACACCCATCTCCACCCTCTGCATCCAAGCTAAGCCTCATGCTTGTCCACAGGAGACCACCCTCTGGGACCCAAAGATGACATCCAGGTCCCCTGAGGGCATCACACAATAGCCGGCTTTTCCCCTACAATTTACAGCCTCTATAATAGAGAACATGATGTGGAGCATTGCCCTACATCTGGAAATCACTCCTAATTCAGCCCTCCTGACCCCAGAGTCAGGCTGCCGTCCCTGGTTCCCGTGCTCTCTACAGATGGGAAGGCCCCACTCCCCGGGTCCTTGCTCAGGATGAGCGCCGGGTGGCAGTGCCCTGTCATTGACTCCCAGTCTGGACTCATCCACCTGGACCATGCTTATGTCAGCTCTGGAGGGAAACGGGCCCTCAGCTTCCAGCCTGGTAGCCCAGGAAGCCTTCTTTGCAAGAAAACTCAGGAGCCTGATTTGTCCAGGAGATATCGGCACACCCACTGGCCACAAGCTAGCTAATGATGTCCAAGGGACCCCAAAGAGAAGAGGGTCCTCTCTCCTAACTGGGTCTGCTCTTATATTTCTTAACGAGCAAGGCTTAGTTAGGTCTGGGGGATGGGTTTCAAATTGTGGGGCCCTTCTGCTGTGAGGCCTTTCGTGCCATGTTTACAGTGCCTTGCTCAAAAGAACCACTCACGTGAGTAAAAGTTGTCCCCTTGCATTGTTTGGAGAGGGTCTCTATCGGTCCCGCTACTGTGGGACAAAGACTGGCTGTCTAGGTCTGGAGAGTTAGTCCTACTGTCTGCATCCCCCTTGAGAATCAGCCAGCTGGTCTTCTGCTGGGGGGGAAAGAAAAAGCCACATGAATTCCGAGGCCCTCCGTGATGACACTGCCCTGTTGCACAGGTCAGGACGCCCAGGGGCCCAACCGGCTCCTCCTGGGGGCGCCCTGGGGAGCCAAGCATGCACTCTCTCCACACACACCTCCCTCCCTTAAGGACAAGCCAAGGGGCCTCGCCCTGGAGCCAGGGTGCAATGCAAGACTCAGCCCGGGGAACAAACCCTGCACCCTGCTCGCAGCCTGCTTTTTGGAGATGATGTGCTGCAGCCTGGTGCACCCTCTCCAGCAGAGCCACCCAGCCCCCAGAGCCTCACTCTTTACCCTCGGACCCTTTACAGGGAACCTCTGCCTAGCCTGGTCTCGAGCCAGCACCCCAGATGCCCCCACATTGCACTTGGATTAATTCTCCTTTTTTTTCAGACATCTCCTTGGTGCCAAGAGCCATAACCCGGTTACACAGGTACGGAACATGACTTTGGCAGGAGGTGTGCTAGTCTCAGGCTGGCGGGGGCCACCTCTGAAATCTGGTCCCTGCCACGTGTAGCCTCATGGGGCCCTGTGGAGAGGAACGCAAGAGAGGGATCCTGAGGTTCCGGCTGGGGACTCCCACAGAACCAGACCGCTTCTGGGTGAGGCTGCTCTCAACCAGACCTGCCCCTGCATTACCTTCCTGTTATCTTGCTCGAAAATTCTGTCCTCTCCATCCGGTCGCCTGACGGCTGGAAGGGAAGAGGCGGCTTGTCAAGGAGATACACCGTCTAGCCTGGGCTCCCCCGCCAAGTACCCACTTCACATTATGTCAGAAACAGAAAGGAATCACGCCGAGGACAACAGAATGAGAGCCTTTGCAGCACCAGGGAGCGGGACACACTGGAGAATCCTCCCATGGGGGTGGGGGAGACCCCACGGGCCTTCACATGTGATGGTTCTTCAAACCAAGAACAAGTGTGCGAAGTGACATGGTCTGGAAACTCCAGCCAAGCCCCCATTCCTGAGATCAAGCCATGTTTTTAGATGCAGCCACTTGGCATTTTGAAGAACACACTCTCTAATTGCTGGTTTAACCCCCAAGTGACAGGAGGGTTTGGCCAACCAGGGCCTATTGTGTCCCACTCAGCCGGGCGCTTCATGGGCACTCCTGCTTATCCCCACGCCACCCCTTTCACAGATCGGGAGACTGAAGCTCAGAGACACGGCATGCCTTGCTCAAGACCATGCATCGGGGGTGCCAGAGGCTGACATTTGAACCCAGGTGGTCTGTCTCCGAGGTCCTCCTTCTGCCCCCCTCACTGTCTGCTGTCCACAAAACACAGAGGGCCAGTGAGTTCTGTTGCTGGAGAAAGCCCACGAAGTGGGGCAAAGGAGGTACAACATACGACCAGAGGTGACCTCAGTGGACCAGAACAAGCACAAGTTCACTTTGCCGCAGCATGTCTACCAGGAACACCATCCAGAGCTGAGAAGTGAGGTGTCTCTATTCTCTACCAGCCTTTTTTTTTTTTGGTGGCAGTGGGGTGGGGGGGTTGTCACCCAGTGGGGCTGACATGATCTCCAAGCAAGTGTGAACATGTAAATCACACACGAGCATCCTGACAGTTCTTAGCATCCACCCGAGGACTTTTCATCCTCAGACACGGACCCCATGCATGGAACATTAAAGGGAAACCCCAGGGGCCTTTCCCACCCCCCATGGAAACTGAGGCCACGGTAAGGACACGCCAAGGGTGGGCTCCTTACCTGCAGCCTGCGGAGGGCTTGGACCTTCCAGCCTTTTGGAGCACCCTGCCTTGTGCACCATCAAGGACAAGGCTGACATCAGGCCCGAGAGCTTGGAAATTGGGGATTGGGATACAGGACCTTGACAAGATAAGGTCACAGTTGAAGAGTGTTCTGGATTCACGGACATTTTATTACTGCGGACGGCTACCTGTTTCTCCTTCTTCCAGGAGAGACAGTGATTTTCCAAGGTGAAAATAAACACCCTGCCCTCTCCACTGGCAGAGACAAATTTATGGTGAATCTGCGTGAGGGGTGTCATGGTGGACAGAGGCAGGGGGCAGGATGGATGCATGCCCATGGCCAGGGCTCGCCTGTTGCCCAGAGAGTGGCGGTTGCCGGGCAGCAGAGCCCCGAGGGTCTGACCATACATCAGCCATGAGTCTTGGCAGCTACCCCACAAGCTCTGGAGATGATCAGGCCAGTGGGGACTCAAAGCTCCAAGCACAGTCAAAGTCCAACCCAGAGAAGGCCTCCAGGGCTGGGCCCTCTGGTGATGGTCAGTGAGCGCACCCCTGAGACCCCTTGGTGGCCCCAAGTGGGCCAATATGGTGGGGGTCATTTGCAAGTACAAAGACAACAAAGGGCTCTTTGGGATATGAAATCCCAGCCCCTGGGGCTCGGGCCATGGGAACCAGAGGCCACCCTGGGTTTGAGGACGTCACACAGCTGTGGGCAACAGGTTGGGCTAGATGCGTTCTGGCTGGGGAGCAACCTCATGGCTTAAGAAATGGCCCCACTACCTCATGAGGACGACAGCCCACCAGGATTTAGCAAGTTTCCTCTGCAAAGGCTCTGCCAGGTGTAATCAGCTCAGCCACACTCCATCACCAAGGGCTTTCCACGGGCCAAACGTGCCAGCCCACAACATACACTGCGGATGCCAAGACATGGGAGCAGGAGCAGGAGAATACAGGAGTCCGGCACTTTGTGTTATTTGCAGCCTGCTTCCTGGATAGCTCTGAGCCTCAGTTTCCTGATCTGTAAAATGGGCAAATGACGCCCACCCCCCAAGGCGCAAGGGTTGCGTGAGGTAATATATGTGGATGCTGTGATACACCAGGGAGTCCAGGTCTGAGAAGTTAGGAGTGAACAAGAGAACAGCTTTGAGGCTAGTTGGCAGCACGGTGTCTCAGAGTGTCGGGAGAAGACAGGCCTACTCAGGACGACCCAGGAAATCAGCTTGAGAGTGTCTGTCCCATCAAACAAGGCGGTTCCTTCCTCCCGAGCCTGGAATCTGCCACGAGGAGCCCTCTGAGGTGAGCCTGGGGACCTCTGCTGGAGGCATGCATCCTCTGATTTTCTTTCTGGACCCATGCCCCATCTACCTTCCTTTTCCTCCCAAGACAGGACCCCAAAACCAAAAATGAGCCTCGATTCCACCATAAAGGAATCCCAGAGAGACACGAGAAGTGGTTGCTTCCCGTTTTACACCAGGGACCAGAGGAACCACGTGCATGTCCCCCGGAGCCATGTGTCCTGACTGGTTTGGCAGGGCGATGGAGTGAGCACCCCTCCACTAGCGGGCGGCTGCAGGTGTGGGGCTAAGCTGCCACCCCCTGCCTCAGAGCCCCGCCTTGGCCTACAAATGACACAGCCAGCCCCGTCCCTGCATCTGGATGCTCAGCTTCCCGGGAGGAGGTGTGGGGGGAGGTGTTCTGGTTTTCTCTGAATTCATCTTGAGCAGTGTAAAACTGAGCATAGCGTCGCTCCATTGAGGGGACCTAGCACTGGAGTGCTGCTGCTCTGCGCCCCACGTCAGCGCGGCCTCACCTAACTCCCACAGAGTCCGATGGCGAGGCAGCCTCGAACCCACTCTCGGTATGCAGACGGGACTGACCACCGCTGGAACCACACCTGCTTCACTAAAGTCACGGGCCCCCTGACTGCCTGCAGCAGGCTCAGGAGCACCCCAGTGCCCCGGTCCTGTCTGCGCTCCATGTCCCACCGCCCCTGCCTGTCCCATGTTTGTCCCTGACTGTGCAGAAAGAGTTCTTCTGCTTCAGTTCTATCCTGCCCCGTTGTTTTCAATTTTCCATTTGCTTCTTTTTGCTTCCTTTCTTCTATGTTTTTCTTACTATTTTTTAAAAAGCCATTAAATCATTAAATCAAGTGGAGCTGGAACTAATATAGTACAATATACTATTGGGCCCTAAATGCTGTACAGCGAGAGCAGGAGGGTCAAGGGCCAGAGGTCGGGGGTCAAAAAAACCCGGGGCTAAACACTAGCCGGGCTGCAGAGCAGCCACTTCTCAGCCCCAACCTCACACTCCTCGTCCACGTGGTGCCAACCTCACGGTGGGCCGCCAGGAAAAGCACTGCCAGCTGTCGGGTGCCGACACAGAACAAGTGCACTCACAGCAGTGGCTGGAGCCCTAGCCACCCTGGCCACCATGGGGTGGCAGCAGCCCCCTCACCTCTGGAGGCTCGCCTCCCCAGAACGGGAATGCAATGTGAGCACCAGAAAAGAGCGACGCTAATTAAGAAAGACTTTCTGTGAGTGGGAGATAGGGCATCAAAAAGTAGATGCATTAATTAAAAACTCTGACTTTTAAAGTGGTTGTTCGTATTATCTTAAACTAGTTAAATGGTCCAGTAATGCAACACTATCACCCAGAGTAAGTATTTCGAGACAGATGAAGGTCAACACAGTGGCTTCTCAAGTCTCTCCCCTGAGAGATGACTGGGTGGTCACTTTGCTGAGTGGGGTGTGTGTGTGTGTGTACACACACACATACATGCTCATGCATGCATGCACTCACACACACATGCACTCACACACTCTCACATGCATGCTGTCATACACACACATGATCTTACACACATGCACACACCTGCTCTCATACACGCATGATCTTACAGACGTGCTCACACACGCACATGGTCTCATAGATGCGTGATTTTACAGACATGCTCACACACACATGTGCTCACATACACACTTCTGACAGGATGTGCTCCACTTGGATGGGGGAAATCTTGTAAAATCAAAACATCTAAAATATATTGGAAACCAAATGCATCCTAACACAAGTGTTATTTTCTGAGCATTCCTGAAGGAAACCTGGTTAAGGATAGAACACACACATGCTGAGTCCCATCCCCTCCCCGTCCCTAGCCCATCCACATTTACAAAGGGACAGGCTGTATTCATGTGTATCCCTAGAATGGGGCTGGATGCTGGGTTGAGGGTAGGTACTCTATAAAGTCTATTTCCCAAAAGAATCAACATGGCAGATTTCTGGATTAATAAATGGGCTTTGGTTATTGTTCATGGTTCAGTTGTACAGGAATCCTCTTGCCTTTGGATAGGAGAGGCCTTTGTATCCAGTTTAAAAACAACAACAACACAAGGACTCGCACTGGCAACAGTAAAATAAAATGTCTTCATTGGACGATTTGGTCAAAGGACTTAGAGTTGGAAGCTCTTTGTCTTAGATCTGGCTTGTTCAGAAGCCACTGAGCAAGTTCATCACCTGATTTACTGTCCCTTCTGCTCCCTAAGAGGCCGGCCCGTCTTATACCATGTATATTCATTACATGTTTGAGGTTAATAAAAGGCCACATCAGCCAATGCCACTTGTGACAAGTACAGAACCCACACCTTTCCATGCAGGCTTGAACACGGGCACCATGATGGTTAAGACGGCACTTAACATAACTGCTCCTTCCTTCAGCTGGGCCTCAGCTCCCCACTTGCAACAAGAAGGGGCTGGTCTAGACAATCTTTAAGGGTCCTGGGGTCTAACTGGCCCACCCCTCTCTGATCCCTCTGGGACATCCGTGCTCCAAGCTTCCCCTGGTTGAGAGGGAATGGTAAAAGTCACTGTCTTCTGGGCAACTGAGAGTTTAATCCGTTCTTTTTCTTCTTGGGAAGAAGAAGAAATGCACAAAGCATGGGGCCTATTGCAATCAAGGAAAAATTAGAAATCTTGTTTGTACAATCAGACCACTGATTTATCAGTAAGTCACAGAAAGCATGTTTTTATAGGATTCCACCTAACAGTGATGTAGTTATGGATGTGGGATGTGGCCATTTTCTTTGGGTGCATCTGGACAAGAACTTTAAATATGGGAATTCCTCTTCCCATATCTCCATCATGTGCACAGTACTTTACAGTTTAGAACACACTTCCACATTCCTTATTCCATCAGGTTTCATAACCAGCCTGTTAAGAGGGCAGGGTGGATGGATCTGTCCTATTTTGCAGAAAAGGAAACAGAGGCTCAGGATAGTAAAACCACATGCCCCAAATCACCCAGAAATTACATCAAAAAACAGGGGAGACTTTGAGCCTTCCACTTCCTGCTCCATGGCTCCAGCCACCTATGGCCCATGCACCTGTCCCAGGCAGACTCAGGTGGTGTGGAGGTGGGCAGTCGCCTTGGAGAGGGAAGCTAGAGGCTGAGAGAACTGCCCCCTTCCACTGCCAGACCTGTCCAGCCCGTTTGCCGATGCAACAAAACTCTGTGGCTGAAGGCTGGCTAGGATTCATTCTATCCTCAGAAATTCCCCAAACACAAGAATAAATGGCTTAATCTGGTTTGTTCTGTTTTCCAAAATTCTGGCTGGGTTGGGCGGTGGTCCAAGAAGCCTCCCTCACCACCTTGGCAGACATCATCCTGGCTGCCTCACTCAAAGCAGCATAACCGGAGCCCCGGAGACGGGCTGTCAGTGATGAACCCACACCCCAAGCCCCTTGACGTGCATCAGCCTCAGCTTCGTGGCACACAGAGGCATCCTTACTCAGAGATGCCCTCCGCGGTCTTTGATGAAGAGGCTCCCGGGAGCCCGCTAGTGAATTCAGTGTGCGCTGAGCCTGACACTCAGACTAACCATGCTGCCGCCCCATCACGGATCGGAACACAACAAAAGGAAGCATTCAGAAGCAAATGGGTGCAACAGGCATGCAGAGAACACAGCAGCAGAGGAAATCCGACTGTACCATGCTGTTTGTAGATAGGGGGTTTCCTATAGATGTTATCTTTTACGCCAGTGTCTGGGAAAGAAGAGAGAGAGAAGAGCAGCGTGAGCAAGCAGACCGGTTTCCATCCCCCTGCTTTTCCTCAGCAGCCGTCAGGCACCAGATCCAAAGCGGCCAGAGAGGCTCTGGCACCCCACAAGCAACTGATGCCTGGGACCCAATCTTCAGACCAAGCGTCACCCAGCCTGAAGCCAGAATCTAGCTCAAGGGGTGGAGGGAGGGAGGCAGCTCGAGTGGCCATCCGGCAGGACAGCACCTTCTCTCCAGCACATTCCCAGGAGGGCAAAAATGTCTCCCTGCTGTTTGTGAGGCTTTGGGAGAAGCTCCAAAGCACGCCAGTGGGGGTGGGGGATGTGCAAACCCTCAGAATTGGGGGGATGTGGAGAGGCTCGAGAATCCTGGCAATTCCGTGCAATCAGACGTTCTGCATGGCACGCCCAACCACGCGTCCCGGGTGCCTACCTGGGACGTGGAAGTGGCGAGGCGCCTGCTGGTAGGTGCAGGGGGGAGGCTTGCTGTCTGAGAGCACCGAGAGGCTGGGGGTGCTCCGGCCACTTTCACTGCCTCCAGACGGAAGAGCAAAGGCAGGTAGAAGGGAGGAAGGGGAAGGCAAAGGAGAGTATGTCAAGTAGGAACGCTTGTTCCCAGCGGGCCCATCTCCCCTGCCTGGTGGAGCCTGCCTCTAGGCTCTGCACAGAGAAGGGAGGGTGCCCCCCACCCACATTTCCAGACGGGGCCCAAGGCTTGTTAATCCAACCTCAAGCAGACTCCTTCCAGTGGCCCCATGGCAAAGAAACAGTGGAACCAAGGACAAGGGCATGCAGGTTGCTAGTTCGTGGGGAGGTCGGCCTGGCTCTGGGCTGACCGCACTCTCCTCGCTGTTCAGCCAGGGCTGGTGCTTGAATCCAGCAAATTGCAAATTCACCAAAACTAAAGCCTCCCTCCCTGTGCATCCTTGCATAAAAAGATGCCGCTTTCTTGGAGAATCCACCAATTAGTCATTCAGAATAGGATTACAACAAAAATCTGTCCCTAAAAGCTATGAGAGACGAAGAGAAAATTGGTACTCATTAGTGGTCATGTTCCCTAAATAAAGCTATTTTTGGCAAATTAAAATGAAAAGAATTCCCCAATTCTGGCTCCAATTTCTCATCCCATCTGGATTTGTAATTTTGACGTTGTGAACAAGGTTGGATTATCAAGTGACAGATTCAGACAGCCGCAGTTCCCCGGGTGACCCTCACCCCCCCGCCGCCCTACACATACCTATTTAAGGAATGACATGATAGACAGAATGCGATGGGCAATCGAACACTTTGGATGATGAGGTTTATGGCTCATTTTAGCAAGACACTCATAAGGCACGCCTCATTTCCCCTCCCGTTAGCTTCAGGAAACCCTCTGCCGCCTTAGATCACAGCCTGGCAAGGGAAGGGGAGCTCCTGACTTGGAAGGAGCCCCCGGGAGATGCAGCCGTTCAAAGCAGCAGAGCCCCGAGGTGACCGGGCTGGTGTCCCAGCCCTCCCAGGGGGCCGCACGGCGTGCTCACGAGGAGGGGGCAGCGGGCGGGGTTCAGAGTGCCCTTTGCCTGGGTCGGGTGCCCCAGGAACCCAAGAGGGCACGCAGGGCAGGGGTGGGCTCAGCCCAAGCAGGCCACAACCAGCTGCCCGACCCAGGCTGAGGCCACACTGGGGGCTGCTGACCGCAGCTTGGAGCATCTTTCTGCGCCTGGGCACTGATCCACCTGTCAGCACTGAAGGAACTTCAGGTGATGACTTGCCCCCTGTCGCTGTGGGAACCCTGCCTTTCCCCGGGCCATGCCGTCAGTGCAGCACAGACCCTTCTAGAGCTCCACACCAGGCCCTGGGAGCAGGGGCCTTCGGGTCATTTCTGAGCCTCCGGGGGGGGGGGGGTTTCCCCACGTAAAGGAAACCACAGATCGGCTCTATTCACCATAGAGCTATGACTGGATCCTCCCCCAAGGGCAGAAACACAGCAGAAATGTGGGCTTTAAATAGTGTCCTTGCACAGGCCCCAGAACAGCCAAGGACTGCCCACTTCAGTGTCATCACTGAGCTGAGTGTGATCCTGGCACGAACTGTTGAATCCGGGAGGCTTCAAACAGCTCACTTCCTTCTGCCTAGAATTCACGGGACCTCACCCACCCGGGTCCTGCCCGGGTGGCTGCAGACGATCAGATACGTGGGCAGGCTCCTGTCCCCCCCCCAGTCCCCAAGCCTACCCTGCAGTGTCCATCACAGGGAACACCCTGTGTGTGCGCTGATCGATCTGGGGAGCACCCACAGTGCTCAGCAGCTACTCCTGGGGTCTGAGACCCAGAGGCAGTTGGGGACACATACGCAGAAGCAGTGGCCCATCATGCCACACACTCCTGCCATCCAGGTGTACGGTGGTCACCAAACTCCATCACCTTGGTCCCAGTCTGAGACACCTCTACTGGCATCCCTTCCCCCCAGCCTCCCTTCCTCTCCCACCCCCAGCAGAATCCCCTTTGCAATCTTCCCCACGGGTCCAGGCTCTTCCTGCGTCAAGGCCCCGGGGCAAAGCCTCCCTGGAAGACCCAGCCCACTGCTAGCCATTCCACTCTCTGGACTCTCTGGGTGACTTCATCATAATAAAACACACTGCTAACATCACCCCTGGCCAGGGGCCCTTGGAGGGCTTTGCCCACATCAGTTCACGGATGCTCACAAAATACCCACATCAGCCCCGCAGGACTTGCACCACCTGGCTGCCTCCTGCAGGAGGGACGGGGCTGGGAGGGCCTGGGGCAGGGTCCTGGTGAGGCGCAGCTCTGGCCGGCTCACCATGCCCCCCGAGGTTCCAGTCACTGCCCCAGGGGCCTTAGTGGTTAAAAACCCCAAACCACTGATGTTGCCACGGAGGCGGGAAAACCAGAGGAGAGGCTGGCTGTGCGGTGACTTTGAGAAGCCACAGAAGCCCCTTCTGATACAGCTCTTGTGGCTTCTGGAGGCAATTCAGGAAGGAGGTCGGATTCTGACCTCTACTGGTTGGAGGGCCTTCTTCTTCCTAAAATTTAAGTAAGTGGTTTATTTTGGAGCAGTTTCAGGCAGTCCAGAGGGCTCAGAAAGTCCCCCATGCTCACGTCGCTGCCACATAGCACCACTTTGTGTTGGCTAAACACCATCCTTTTTCAGATTTCACAGTTTCACCTAATGTCCCTTCCCTGTCCCTGGCGCCCGTCCAGGACATCACGTGACTTGCTACCATCCAGGCTCCTCTGGGCCGTGATGCCTTCTCAGACTTCCCTGGTTTTCGAAGATTTTTATGAGGAATCCTGGTCAGGGCTTCTGGGCGGTGGGTGTTCCTCACTGAGGACAGGTCTGATTATTTCTCATCTCATGATCGGACAGGAACTGAGGGTTCTCAGGAGGAAGACCCCAGGGGTGCGGTGCCCTCCTGTTACATCATGTCAAGGGTACCAGCCATCAACGTGACCTTGATCTCCTGGCTGAGCTGGGGGCCACAGGCCATCTGACCCTTGACCACAACCACCTCCTAAGGTGGATGGCCCAAGGACTGGGGCTAGATGAAGAGGTGTCTCGGAGGCCCAGCAGGTGTGTGGGAAGCGGGCCCTGACCTGAGGCTCTGAACCGGAAGCTCCTTCTCTCCCCTCACGCCATATGGGGAGAAGCCTTGCTAGCCAGTAAGTGGCAGCTCCTCAGTGAAGAGGTTCCAGCAGCATCACCTCCCCTGGACACTCCTTACCTGCCTACTCCTTAACAGGTGAGATGTCAAGCTTAAGTCTTACACTGCCACAGGAGATGGACCAGGGTCTGAAATTCATACTAAATTGCAAATGATTACCACCAACACTGATGCCGTCTGCAGGTCTTGGTAGAGGGGTGTCTTTGGACATTGAGACATGAGGTGGGGAGGAAGGTATGTCTGGGATAGGGGTCCAGCAAGAAGAGAGGAAGAAAGCCAGGGACCCCTGTCAGCACATAGCCGGGTCAGGGCAAGTGCTGGCTGGGATGAGGGCAGGCCTCTCCTTGGGGAGCCCTCCACCCACAGCGGCATTCAGAGAGGAACCTCCACCTAGAGGAGTCAAAGATGCTAAGGATGCCATGAGAGGCCAGGAAAGGCTTTCCCGGGGAGCATGGGTGGACACAGGGCCGTGACCAGCTGGGAGGAGGACAGGCCTTGACACAGCTGGCCACCCGAATGCCCACAGGCTGGGATGCATTACAGCAGGTGGCTGAGTGCAGGCATCAGGAGGAGGACAGGTTCCCTCAGGGTGGCCTCTGAGGTGGACTTAGGACCTGCGGTGGACATGGCTTGTGCACAAGAGCCTGACTTGGCTCTGCCCCACAGACCTTTGGGATCTCAGGCCAGCACTGTCTTTCTGGGCCTTGGTCTCCTCTGGGGTGAGTCATGTAAAGAGGCTGGGCACTCCAACGGTCCCAAATGGCCCTGGAAGTTGGGTGTGGGGCAGAGCCACAGGGTCAGACCTCCTCTGCATCTGACCCAGACAGATTTCTGATAAAGGGAATTGGCAGCCAAAGCAGCCAGGAGGGAACCAGGACCCACCATGGGGCTGGTGCCTTTGCCCACCCAGCAGACAGCAGAGGCACCATGCTCCTGCCCCCAGAGGATGCCCTTGGCCAGGCTATGCAATGGCTTCCAGATCATGTTTTGGTGGGCAGGGGCAGAGCCTGTCTGCATGGTCTTCCCCACGGTAGGGGTAAAGGAAGAGCCTTGCTGCTCTTGCCCGAGGTCAACACGACTGCCCCTCCCTGGCCTTCCCTTACGGGGCTGGGGAAGGGGCGCTGCTCCCCCTGACCTGCCTGGAGCAGGCATGCTGCAGGTCTGAGGCACTGCCCAGGGGCCTGCCCATGGCTGAGGGCTCATCCTGGCCTTCCTCACCCTGGGGTGGTAAGAATTAGAGGCTGGAAGGTCAGAGGGGAGCAGCGGAGGACAGGCTCAAAGGGTCTGCTCCAGCCCCAGCCTGGACTGGTGTTGGCCAGAACATGGGGGCCACCAGGACAGCAAGGCTACAGCAAAGACAGCACAGCCTGGCCTCGTCTCCAGGCCACACCTCTGCCGGAGCCCCTGGGGGACAGCCCCACCCAGAGCGGGGCCACGGTGGGCAAGGGGAAAACAGTGTGTCTGTGCCGTTTGGGCCCGTGAGCCAAGAGAGAAGAGGCACCTCTTTGCTGGCCTGTCACCTAACAGGCAGATGGCCCTGGTTTGCAGTGAGTGTTTTGTGTGCCTCTTGGTGAGAGCACACTGGTCACGCGACCTCCGTGTGCCCTGTGGATGCACATGGCAGGTCCTTGCTGGTGGCTTTCCCACTCACAGGATGCACTGTTTCCAGCTTTGCTGCTTCTCAAAAGAGACAGTGTGTCCAGAAGAGACGGACCATGGGCTGTAAGGACAGGTCCCGATGCTTGGAGGCTCTGCACACACAGAGCAAGCGATGGTGATGGACAGAAGGGAACACGCAAGTCCCCGTGAGCCCCCACTGAGACCATCAGATGGGGGAACAATCCAGCTGAGCTTGGCTCGCCTCCAGGTCCCTTTGGGATGGACATATTCCACTCTGCGGCTGGACAGCATGGGGACCTTGATGCACCTCTGGGGGCGTCAGTAAGAACATCACTGCTGCTCCCTCTGACGCCCGGAGCATCTCTCCATGGTGTCTCGGTCGGCTAGGGCTGCGGAACCGAGTGCCGCATTGGGCCGCTTCAGCAACAGATGTGTTTCCTTACAGTTCTGGAGGCTGCAAGTCCCAGACCAAAGTGTGGCAGGTCCGGTCTCTGGTGAGAGCCGTCCTCCTGGCTGCCAGATGGTCACCGTGTCCTCACGTGACCGTGAGGCCCTCCCTCTGAGCACATGCAGAGTGAGAGCTCTCCCGGTGTCTTTTCCTCTTCCGTAAGGCCTCCCATCTTATTGGATTAGGGCCTCACCTTAGTGACTTCATGTAACCCTCCTGGCCTCCCAAAGACCCCATCTCCAAACGCGGTCACACTGGTGGTTAAGGCTTTAACATATGAATCTTGGGGACACGGCTTAGCCCATGATGTATAGGAAACGAGCTTGGTCATTTTTCTGGTGTGATTCGTATACGTTATCCATGCAGGGATGTGGACAGCGGGCGGGTCTGCACCCTGGAAGGAGACAGGAGCCAGAGCCCTGCCCGGCCACCACGTGCCCCGGGGCCACGAACAAATCACAGCCCCTCCGTGCTTTTGCTTTTGCTCCTGATGATGGCTGCAAGCGATCCCTCTGCCCCACGGAGCGGATGTGGGAAGGGAAATGGGGGTAACGGGTGAAGGCTCTCAGAACAAGGCCGAGGCCACGCTAGGGAGAGCTAGCCTCCCGTCCCTGCTGCTCGCCCTCCGCTCCTCACCGCTTCCCACGGCAAGCCACCTACGTCCTCCTCCCAGGAACATTTATACACCAACAGAAACGGAGCCAGACTCACGAGACACACAGCGAGGGGCACGGGCTGAGACACAGGGCTCGGGGAAGCCATGCGGCGGACACAGGACAGCAAGACACAGACGTGTGGCCAGACGCCCTGCGAGTGCCCAAGCCCGCAGCACTGCGCACCTTACCTCGGAAGTAGGGGATGTAATGATGTCTGAACACGGATGTAGGGCTTGGGTGTTGGGACAGGGACAGGCAGCTACTGGTACCAACACTCACAGTACCAGCTGCGGGCAACAGAGAGCAAGTCAGAGTCCACCCCGCGCTCGCTGGCCGCAAAGCCACAAAATATTCCTAGGCCCCACTCTGCTAGGAACATTTTTGCTTCCTCTCCCGAAGAAAGCACACCTTTTTGAGGCACCTGAGGGGGGTCACCAGATACGCTTTAGACCAGTCTGCCCCAGCTTCCGAGTGAGGACTCCCTGCCCGCTGAGGGACAGGGCGGCAGCCCCGGGGCTGCTGGACTTTACCCACCAGCCCCGGAGCCCCGCCTGTCACTCCACTCCGAGGCTCCTTGGCGTCAGAGGCTGGTGGGGAGCAGCTGGCCAGACCGGGGCGAGTGCGCACCTGACGGCCACGTGGCTGACGTGCTGACATACACGTGTTGGCTCTCCGAGGTGACCGCGTGGCCAGGCACAGCCACCAAACCCAGGTGACCCAAAACACAGTGCTCGGGGGTCAGGAGGGGGGCCTGGGAGAGGGCACTGAGGAGGCTGACTGCCCTTCACCCTCACTCGCCTGCTCGCCTGCTCGCTCGCTCACTCATTCATTTGCTCACTCACACATTCACTCACTCACACACTCACAACACACACTTGCTCAGTCACTTGCTCACTTGCTCACTCACTCACTCGCTTGCTCACTCACACTCTCACTCATTCACTCACTCACTTGCTTACTCACGAACTCACTTATTCATTCACTCACACACTCATTCCCTCCCTCCCTCACACACTCACTGGCTCATTCATTCATTTGCTCACTCATTTGCTCACTTATCCATTCACTCAGTCACTCATTTGCTCACTCATTCATTCACACACTCACTCACTCACTTGCTTACTCATTCATTCATTCATACACTCACTGGTTCATTCACTCATTTGCTTACTTGTTCATTCACATTCTTGCTCACATGCTCACTCACTCACTGGCTTACTCATTTGCTCACTCATTTATTCACTCATTCATACTCACTGGCTCACTCATTCACTCACTCATTCATTCATACACTCGCTCACTCACTCACTCATTGGATAACTCACTCATTCGCTCACTCATTCACACACTTGCTCACTCACATCCTCACTGATTCAACCACTTTCCACTTATTGAGCAGGATGTTCCAAGAACATTGCAGGGAGTCCATGAAAATAACTTTGCAAATGAATGAGTTGATTTTTCCACAAAGGCTGTGAAAATTCGAGCTGTAGTCCATGGATGTGGAAATGGAGTCATGCGGCAGCTGGCCACGGAGGAAGCAGCTTGGAAAAACCCCTCACGGAGGCAGTGTGTGCATGGAGTGTCCCTGTGGCTTTGACACACCAAGGGCAACGATGAGTTTTCAAAGCTAAGGGCAAGCAATACAGAGCTGGGCGCCAGGCAGGGAAGGAGGTGGACTGGGAGTGGATAGCACCCTGCCCCAGGCATCTCCCTGCTGGGAGGGGGCAGTGGCCTCTCACCAACTGTCCCATGGGGATGACTGTCTTTGGGGCCACCGACCCAACTACATGTGAAGTGTCAACAAGTATTCTAACTATTTTTTGGCCATTAATGCTACCCTCACAGCTCAACCCCTCCCCCCCGGACCCACATGAGCTTGGGATGAGTAGACCTCTGGTCTCCCCCATCGATGCTGCTTCACCTTTCTGATATCTCTGCCACTGAAACACCCGCTAGATTCTAAGTACTTGGTGCTGCCTGCGTGTTTCAGCAGACGTCCCTCTAATTATTAGGGTAACTAGCTGCCTGTGTTCCTCCCTCCTAGACATGAGAGGGGCCAGCCTTCATGGACACGTTACAGGGACAGGCTTTCCCATCACTTACTGGCAATCCCACACCCGGCCCTTGAGTAAAGGAAGACAGATTCATAAGAGGAAAAGAAACACGTACAGCTTCGTTGGGGGGTAGAGCAGCCATGGGGTTTAAGTACCTGGACGGCTGTAGTGCTGGGGCGACCGTGAGGTCGGAGTGTAGCGCCCGAGACTGACCGACCCAGTGGAGCTGGGGCTGGAGGTCCGGCACTGCTTGTAGGAGCGGTCATCCTGATCCCCCTGGGAGGGAAGACAGCCTAGTGAACCCCGGAGTCGAGGGCACTGCCCCCGCCACCACCCCCATGCCGCACATTCACCCTCCTCCCAGTGTTTGACTCAACGTGGCCCCAGGATGAAAGCCTCTGCACCTGCAGGGCACACCTGGAGAGCCAGGGAGGGGCCTGGCCTTGGGCCAACACTCCCCTTGGCCTGAGCACAGTCCCCATGCCCCCAGGTCCCAGGGAACAGTGTCTCCATCAGCCCCTCCCTATGTCTGGGCTCCCAAAGATGTGGTGGAGGCACCTGGCTCCCCAACACCCTCTTGGGGCCCCTCCAGCCCCGTCCTTTCTAGGACCCAAGCTCCTTACAACCATGACATTTTGAGAGATTTGAGAACCATGAGATTCTGTGTTCTCCTCCCCCCTCCTCCCACTCAACAGGGACTCCCAGGTATAGGAAGTAGGAAGGCACCCCTCCCCGGCCCGAAGGCCAGGTTGAGTCAGACCCACAAGCACTGGCCCACAACACTCCATTCAAGCAGGATGAGCAAGTGTTTGGAGTGGTCAGAGCAGGTGGCAGGTGGTATGAGATGGCATGACACCGTGGTATGGGGAAGAGCAGGCTGCTGGGCCCATCACAGCCGGGCACGCTGGCCAGAGTTGTGAGACAGCCCAGCCCAGCATCCCGCCGTGGGGTGGACGCTGTTGCTTTGCCCCTGAGGCCAGCACAGGGATAAGCACACGGGAGATGAGAGTCTGGGTCTGGTACTCACAGCTCTCACCCTTTCTGAGCTGACCTCTGCCCCCTAAGAACCAGTGGGGCCACTGTCCCTAACTCCTGCCTGTGCCCCTACCTCCACGCTTTGCCCAGGCCAGCCCTCTGGCTGGGATCGCACCTGCCAGCTGTCACCTGTGCTCCACTCTGAGCCTGCCTGGCCCGTCTCACCCACGGTGATGGGCACTCTCTCCCCAGAGGTAGTGGCATCTCTGGGCATCCTCCGCACACACAGCCCCACCGGCCAGCTTCCACCCCAAGGGCGTCCTGTCCTTGCCTAGCCTGTCTGGGGCTCGCCAGCCACATGTGGTTTTCGAGGCTGGGCGTTGAGGGCCGCTCGTCCGGGCTGGTTGCCACATTCCTGGATCTGAGGGTTTGGTGCCCATGCAGATTGAAGTCTAATTGGCACCTGTCCATGCCACTGAGTAGCTTTGAGAAACAGGAAGACAGCTGCTGACTATAAATGCTCTTAGATAGGGAAATGCTTCCAGAATTTTCATCTGCGTGGATCCAGGTGCTTCAGAGGTTCCACTCAGAGGAGTGTGAGGTGGGCCTAGGCTAACCCGGGATCCAGGGCTTTTTCCCTACAGGAAGCCAGGACCCAGACCTCGAGAATGCCATATCCCACGTATCGGCGACTGCAGGGCCAACAGGTGTACTGGGGAAGCATGCAGATGAGACCTGATTATAAAAATAACCAACACCAAGGACGGCACTTCAGGCTCCGAGGACCATGGCCCCAGACCTCACAGTCAAGAGCCACAGAGGCCCTCCTGGGGGTGCCGTGGGTGGTTATGTTTATAACCCGGGTGGCAGTACCACAAGCCGGGGGGGCATTGGCTGGGGGGCAGGCAGTTACCTCGGTCGGCGTTGGCGAAAGTACCTGTGGGGACTGTGGACACAACACACAGAGTGTCCTGTTAGTGTCTCAGCACCAGGCGGTCACTTGGGGGAGGGGGGACAAGAAACAGCATAGGGCACAGATGTCCCCGTGACCAGCCCCTCCTCCATAGGGAAAGGAACCCCACCCCAAGACACGACACAGGATTTCAGAACCTTCTTTTTGAAGACATACAGTCAATGGCACCCTGAGAAAGAGGTTCCCAGGACACTTCTTCACACCAACCCTGGAGTGTGCCTCCATCCTGGCCCTCCTCGATGCCCACTGCTCTCCCAAGAGGACATAATTTCCAAGAGGAAGACCATCAGTTCAGGGCACAGGGTGGCAACATCCTATGAGCCTAGCAGCCTTGGTTTTCTCCAGAAAGGAGAGACAAGGGGCCCAGAGAAAAGAGGGCCTTTCTGGGCCTCAGGGCTTGGGGAGTCCTCTCTCCATAGAATGGAAAGGGTAAGTGTCTCCCAATCTTCCCATTTCATGGAAGGGGAGATGGAGGCTCAGGGAGATAAAGCCAGGTCTCTGAGCATTTCCCTGCCGGAATCCTGCATTGATGGCAATTGCCAGGAGGCTGCCATTCCCAAGAAGCCACCAGAGCTGTCCAGCCTGAGGCCCGTGTCTGCTCAGCTGACCCCTGACCCTCCTTCTGTGGCTTCCTGGCCCCCACCCCATCATCTGCCCACAGAAGGGCCCCCACAGACACCACCACCGAGCAAGCTCCCAGCCACAGTGTGGCAGGGCCTGAAGAGGGGACAGCCCTGGGGGGCCTGAGATGGGGGAGCAGGGGCCTCTGACGCCCCCAGGTGATGGCAGAAGCCGGTGTGAAGGCCACGGTGACCAGGGCTGGCTAACCTGGCCCCAGTCCCACCTCAGCCTCTGTGAGCTGCATGGCCCTGGGCAGGCACGTCCCCAGAGCCTGGTGCCCTCCTCTGCATCCTGGGACAATCGCTGCCACAGCGCGGGGTGACAGGACGCACAGGACAGTCTGGGACAGGGTTGGGTGAGGAGGCCGGAGGGGTGAGTGGTGACCCTGACAGTTCGGACACAGCTCAGCCACGGCAGCGTGACCGGCCAGTGGACACAGGATTTCTGTCCCCCTGGGCTGTCCAGCACCTGGCAGGAAAGCCTCAGTGTGTGAACACATCTGTCCCAGGACCGCACGGCCCTCCCTTCTCACGTCCCCACACCCCCTGGCAGGAATCACTTGTGGTGCACAGACTGTGCACCGTTGGAGGCATGTGGTGTCAGGAACCTCATGACTCAGGCTCCGTGTGTGGCTCACCTCCTTGCATGCAAGGCTGTGCTCTGTTTGTGTGCTGACATTCAGGGGACCCATAAGGAGCAGAACAGAGGGTGACCAGGCTCCACAGCCACGTGCACATGTGGCATTCACAGTGGCCCTGCCTCTGGCTGGGGACCCATGAGCCAGTCAGCATAGAAAGCTCAAGCTCGAACCAGGGAGGTGTTCCAAGGCTTCCAATGGGTGGAACCCAGGCCTCTAGATCTCCCGCGTCTCAGAGGAAGCATGAAGGGCAGTTAAGGAAACAGCCAGCATGTGGTCTTAGGGGGCGGAAAGGCCTGGATTTGTTCAGCTCTGCGGCTCACCGCTTGGGGGACCCCGGCCAAGTCAGCTGACCTCTCTGACCCTCTTCCAGGGCTGTCCACTGCAGTGCAGACCAGATGCTAGATGATAAAGCCCCATGCACAGCACAGCTCACATGGTAGGTGGGTGCAGATAGGGACCCCACGGCCACACCCGAGTCTGAACACCACCAAAGACTGGGGAAAATCAGGAGCAGACTCCATGTAAAATGGAGAAGAGCCAAGAGGAAGAAGTCACCAGGGAAGGACACCACCAATGGGGCACTAGGGAAGCGATCGCTGGTGGTCCAAACAGGTGGCCCAATCGGCTCCAGGAAGTCATGAGACAGAGGGGCAGGCCAGCTGCTGGGGGTGGCAGCCAGGCCAGGGATGTTTTGGAAGGAAGAAAAGGATCCATTTTATACAATATGTGAATCATCCCAAATTTGAGAAGATGGGGAGACTCTCAATTGGTTCTCAGCACTTTCCCACATCAGCACATTTCCACCCTCCATCCTGCCAGGACGAGCAGAGCCTCTTTAAGGGGGATGCGCACCGGCCACCAGAGGGGATTACGGGAGGCCGGGGGTCAGAGAGGGCGGAGGCGGACCGGGCCTGCCGTGGGCGCACCACCCGCCGCGGGGGCCGTACCTCGTGGCAGCTCTGCCTGCCGGCCGCCGAGTGACTGATGTACGGCGAGTAGGAGATCATGTCGGGGCGGTCGATGTTATAGATGGCCTTGCTTTTAGGAAGAGCCGCCAAGTCCCTGTAGTCGAGAATCTCATCGCCCAGCTTCGCCTGAGAGAGAAAGCAGAGGGCACAGTAGATCTACGACCCAGAGGGCGGCAGGTCTGGCGGCCGCGTGGACGGCGGGGCCCCCCCAGGAGCAGGCTTGGGGAAATGCAGGGGCAAAGGCACGTGCGGGGGCTCCTCATGGTCCTGCAGGCCTGGGTCCCTGGGCCCCGTCAGAGAAGACCACAGGGTCCTAAGGAAGTGTGTTCTCTGAGCCTCCACTTCTCTCCCTCCCCAAGTGGGAGGGACGGTTATGTGGGACAGCCCCAGGGTCAGAGGTAGAGCCGGTGAGCTGCCTGGCACCGAGCCAGCACACAGCGAGACTCAGTCCATGGCCTAGACATTTGTGCATGCACAGGTGAAAATGCACATGTGTGTGTGTATATACAAATACATGGATACATATGCATACACATATCCACAAGCACACATAACGTGCATTGTGCATGCACACAAACACATACACCCATGTGTGAGTACATGCAAATATATAGCACGTGAAAACACACCGACATACAAACATACATGTGCATGCATGCAGGCAACATATGTGCAAGCATGCAAACACATACGTGTTAAAATAGACATATGCAGACCCTTAAAAGTCACACATATATACATGTGTCTACGTGCAAATACACATACACATTCATGCATATGCACACCTATGACATGTACGTGTATGTGTGCATTTAAATATACATATAGTGTGTACATACACGTGTACACACATGCAAGCACCGTGTATACACTTATGCACATGCACATAGAGGATGTGCCCAGGACTATGGACTCATTCATACCCACGGCCAAATACTAGGACACACTAGCACATGCACTTGCACAACTTGTATATGCCCATACCCTCTCACATACGCACACTTGCAGACATACCACATACCCTCCTACACAGACCACATGCTCACTTTCTCACTCATCTCTCACGCTAGCATACGTGCTCACACACACTCCCACACCAATCCACATTCACACCCCTCATGCCCACACCCTCACACATACACACTTACACATAGTCACACACTGGCACACATACTCATGCCCCCAAACTCACACCCACACGCTCCCATGCAATGGCACATATTTGCACACACAATCACACTCACCCAAACTACACACTTCCACACACCCATGGTCACACTCACGTTTGCATGCACATGTACACACACAACAGTGTTGAGCACTTCAGATATGGCAGCAAAGTGCCTGACACTTGATGGGTTAGCTGGGATATGACCTCAGGTAAGGCTAGGACCATACCTGGTCCACAGCAGGTGCTCACTGGTGACGTACTTGGAGCCACTACATTTGCTCAGGTGAGAGCCACTGACCACCCGCTCCCCTGTGACCTGTCCTTCCCCTGCATCACCTCACCACTCCCAGGCTATTGCCCCGGCCCCTGCCACTCCTCCCTGGCTCCGGGGGCCTGCCTGGGGGCACGTGGCTGAGACAGGTCCTAGAGCTGTGCAGAACCACACACACACACACACACACACACACACACACAACCCTCAGCTGTCATGGCAGGGACGATGATCTGTGTCGGTCCCCATGCTCCTGTTGTGGGTGCCAACATTCCCATCCATCCTGGAGGGAACACACGTGGTCACCTCCTCCCCACCATGTCTCCCTCAGGATTCATCTCAGTCTGGCCTTGTCAGCCGTGGGCAAAGCTGGCAGTCAGGCTGCCCCACTAGCTCGGCTCTACCTAAACCCCAAGAGAACCTTCTTCTCAAGCCCAGTGTTCCCAGCGACTGAGCCAGGGCCAGCATGGGGCACACACTCTCTCTGCAGTGGGACTAGCTGCCCTGTTCCAACCCAGGTGGCTCTGGTCTAGGCCCTCACTGCTCTCATCTAGACCTGGTAAGAGCCTCCTGGCTCTCCGGCTGCACTTGCCCTGAACAAACATCACCGACAGCACCTGCCGACACCACGAGATCTTCCCTGGGATGACACTGGTCTAAGTCTTTCATTATTCACTCACCAAATACTCACAGTGAGCCCATGATGGGAGCACCCACAGTTACTCCACTTCCTAGACATGGAAAGCAAAGCCCAGAGAGGATAGGTAGCTCACCCAGAGTCACAGAGCCAGGGAGGTAGGTGGTGGGAAGAGACCCGGGTTGTCTGACTCCAGAGCCATGTTCCCCACCATCACTCTCTTCTCTGCCAGGCCTGTGTCTCTGGAGCTTGAGCAGCACACTGCCCTCCAATGCAAATCTTCCGGCAGCCCCTCTGGGTGGATGACGCAAGCCCTTGCTGCAGCCCCCAAATGCAGTGTTGGCATTCCTGGCCTGCTCCCCCTGAGGCTCCGCATGCCAGGGTTCAGTAGCCCCAGCCCACCTCCCCTAGGAAGCCTTCCCAGACCACTTGACTCCAAGGCTCTCATGAGTTGGTGAGTGCTCCTGGGGTAAACACTGCCATCTGTGATGTAGGTTGAGCATGAACATCTGATGTCTCAGACCTCTGACTCTTCCCTGTGGAGCCCTGGGCAGGGTTCGGAAGTCCTGAGCTCAAATCCTAAGTCTGTCATTTGTAGTCAGGATGAGCCTTGATCAGAACTTTTGAACTGCTCCTCAGGGGCTCTCATGCCCCTGCTTATCCTAGTGGTTTACCTTTCTGTTTGTGCGGAGCTCCTTACAGCTCCCCAGCCACCCGGAGCCCAAAGACCTGGCACCTGCTGCTGTCTCAGTAATGCCCCTCCTTGACCTCTGTGCCTAGCTCACCCTCTGGTTCTTCCAGACTCTGTCCAGGTCCCCCTCTTGGAAACACCATCCCTGTTTCCCTCCACCATCCGGCTTGGATGTTTGTCTCCTTTAAAGGTGCTGACGTTGGTTGGTGCATCTGTCTCCCCTGCTCTGGGGCTGGCAGCTCCCAGGGATCCATGACTATCTGATTCACCATGGAGTTCCTCGCCCTAATCTGTGCCTGGCACAGCAAGGTCCTTGGGACATGCTTGCCAAACTGAAGTAAAATCCATGGGGCATTTGCCAAAATCAGCTGGATTCTCTGGGCCGTTTTACAAGACGAGAACATCACCTATGTCTTGTCTACCCACTGGATTTTGTGAACATCAAATCAAAGCTGACACTGGAATGAGGGGCGAGGCAAGGCCTGCACTCAAAGGTCCCTATGCAGATGGACCCCCTTCCCTGCCTCGGGCCCCGCTACCATCAGAGCACATGCCCGCCTGTGGCTCTCAGCCCTGCAATGCACGGGTCAGCAAGGCTGGCCCTGCCCTGGGTTAGCCCCCAACAGCAGGGATCAGAGAGGTGGCCTGATGGCACCAATACTGCCCGCTCCCACCCTGGACAAGAGTCTCTGGTCCTGGCTCCCCGGCATCTGTCCTGCCCCGTAGGCTCACAGATCCATCCTGTCCCATTGCCGGCCTAGGGGCGGTTGCCGTGACAACAGGCTATGCTCTCTAATTGGTGGAAGGCCACCGGGGTATGTAGGTGTTCATGAGATTTCTCTTCACTTATTTCTCTCCCATGCTCCATCTAGCATAATAAAAATAATAGTATGTGCCCATATACCACAGAATCCTCACAATAAGCTGTCATAATAATACATTATCATGTAATAATGTTGATTTTATGCTATGCCTAGTTACTGATTTACTGCCATGGCGAAGAAAGGTTACAATAAAATCTCATGACCTCATTTGGGTTAAAAAAAAATTACACACAGAGAAAAGAGACCTAAGGGGCGTGCCCCAAAATATTAGCAGTGGCTACTCTGGCTGGTAGGATAGTGAATGCTATCCATTTCCTCTTGCGCTGGAGGGCTGCCGAGCAGCTGGCATCCTTCGGGGACCTGAGCACCCTCCCGAGGCCCAGCACTGAGCAGTGTCAGGTGCACAGTAGGCCAGCAACAGATGCCAGCAGAAGACCAAAGAGAAAGCAGGGCAGAGCCCTGAGAGATGAAGGGCTGCTTCACCAGATGCACAGCTCCCTGGTGAAGGATTCCATGGGTGTGTGCCGACTGGGTGCTCACACCACCCTCATGTGTGGGGGAGAGCCGGGGTACTCTGGCCTGTGGCCTGCCAGGCAGATGTGGCCAAGCTGGGCGCTGGCCATGGTGCATGGACCCCACATGTTGGAATTGGACGTGTGTGCTCTTGGGTGGAGGCTCCCAGGTTCAAGACTGTGTTGCAAATTTCTGCACATCTCTGAATAGCATCTAAGTGGGTGAAGCAACCCCAGGAGGAAGGAGGAGGAGCGCGGGATGAACCCTGCTGTACCCTGCACTCATTGCACCTCCATGGGTTCGGTTCAGATGCAGGAGACTGAATTAAATTAACTTGTTGGAGGACTTCTGTTTAAAACTGGCATCCAGGGCACCCGTATTCGCCGAGCAGGAAGTTTATCTAAGCTGATACCATCTGCCTTGGTCGAATGCACACCCAGTAAGCTCCACTGTGGACTGTCACAGGGCCTTTAAAGTAGCTGGGGCCACAGTGGTCAGTGTCCCTGCTCACTGTCATGATCGTGCAAGGACCTAGGTCCTTGACAAACACCAGTTTGTTGAAAAAGGTAGCTCACACTCAGCAAGCAGTTATTACAGGCCACACAGTAACCACTGTGAGCACTGCCCACACCAGGCGCCCTGCGAAGCACTCAACAGATATGGTCTGACTGAAGTAACAGGGATCATATTTAGGATCTTCCATGACGTTGATGGCATCATGGGCTGAATTTATGTCCTGCCAAATACGCATGTGGAAGCCTTCACCCCCAGGACCTCAGGTGTGACCGCGATTGGAGATGGGGTCTTTGCAGAGGTGATTACGATCAAACGAGGTCACTAGGATGGACCCCGATCCAATCTGACTGGTGATCTTATAAGAAGAGATCAGAACACAGACGTGCACAGAGGGGCGGCCACGAGAGGAGACTTCAGGTCAGGAGGGGGCCCTCAGGAGGACCGGCCCTGCCCACACCCGGATCTGACTCCCAGCTTTCCGGACTGGGAAAGACTACATTTTTGTGGTTGAAGCCACCTGGTCTCTGAGATTTATTTGCCAATGGCGGCCAAGCTACGAGCACAGATGTCACACTGATCATTGTGGTGAGCATTTCCTAAGTCCTCCTTCTGGCCCAGGGCTGCACTCAGGGCTCCCACGCAGTCCCTCCGTGGGCCCTGGACAGCAGCGACTGTGGGTCGCTTTGGTACAGATGAGCTCTCAAGGCTCAAAGAGGCTAGCTCCTCACCCAAGGGCACACAGCTGGTCTGATGACTTCATACCGCCTTTCTGAGCCTCTGAGCACACATTCACAAAGCGCCACTCTGCAATTCACCCTCCGGGCTCGCAACGGTCACGCTCTCCCAAGGACTAGAGTATGTGGTATTGTTACCTATCAGAATTAGGGTCAGGAATGCCTCTGCATCCAACTAGTATGAGATTCAGGGCTGAAAAGGTATCAGGAAGAGCAAATCCAACCCCCATTGTGTCATAGAAAACAAACGTCCTGACCGGGCGGGAGGGGGATGGGAGAAGCCACGTGCCCCAAGTCACCTGCTGTTCCTTGCAGGAGCGGAGCCAGGCCCAGATGCCCAGTCCAGGGCTTGCCCCTTCCCCCTCCTTGCACCTTGAGTCCTGGAGCTCTTCCCCAGATGATGAAGTCTGGTACTCACAGGAAAATCCGCACGCGTAAATTATGCACACATACACGCATACACACACGCACACACTCATATGCATACACATACCCATGTGCACAGGCACACACCCATACACATCCCATATGCACATACACACAACCATACACACACATCCCCATATAGACACATACACACCTGTATACACAGGACTGCACACATACATGTACACACACCCAGTGCACAAACCCCCATATACACACAAACATCCATATACACACATATATACATCCATATGCACACACATACACCTGTACACATACACTCATATGCACACACACTTATACACACATATACCCATATACACACATACACACCCATATGCACACCCCACATATACCTGTACACATATACACCCATATTCATACACATACACACCCACAGGCACACATACACCCATATGCACACACACATATACCTATGCACACACACACACATGCATACACACATACACTCTAATAAAAATGGGATTGCATAACACAAATTATCCTCAACATGCTTTTCGTAGGAGCATGTTAGAAACACCACTCAGGGTAACAGGGGCAGATCTGCACCAGTATTGGTAGCACCTGCCCAGTCCCATGTGCTTCCAAGGATTATTTATTCAGGCAAGCCTTAGCTTAGCTGTCCTTAGCAGGACAGGGACACCATACTAATCTGACACCACTGTGGACAACAGTGTGAACACATCTCTGTGCCCCATTGCCCTTTAACAGGGTAGCACAAGAGTCCTCAAGGCTCCAAGTGAGCCCCACGAAGTCTGCAGCAGGCTGTGCCTCACGGCAGTGGCGAGAATACTGGCCCTGCACCCCAAAGCCTGAGGACACCGCAGCCCCTTAGGGCACCCCCAGCAATGACCCAGGCCCCGACTATCCCACCACCTACCCCCCAGCCCTCCAACTCACATAGATCACGCGGCTTGGAGACCCCGAGGTGCTGGAAGCAGGTACAGAAATGATGCTCTCTGAGGAGCTCCTGGTTTCCTGGAAAGGAGGAGACAGGAGACTGAATACAGAATATGTTGATGACAGAACCTTCCAGATGCAATTATCACAGGTCACACTCCAATAGAAATGCCAGTAACGAGATTTTTTTTCTGCAGGTTGAAAGAATTCTTAAAATAAACACACAGGCTTGAATGAGCTGCCGGAAAGCTATAATCAGACGGACGCAGCAGGTGCCACCCACTACAAGCACAGCAGCGAGCTCTCTGCATGGTTGGAAACACTCTGATGACCGCTCGGCTTGCACGCACAGAAATTATCTGTTTTTTGGAAGGACAAGAGCAAGTGATACATTTTCAAGTGATTCTGCACACTCTGATGGCAAAGGCCATCGCTTTTACCCAGAATTTTGCTGCTCAGAGATGTTATTTTCCAGCTAGGTTATGGGGCTGGGGGGTTATTGTTCGTCCTACCAGCCCAATCCACTGCTCTCAGAGTCTGCAGCCACCACCCCTGTGACCTGTTCCTCAAATGTCCATCCCAACCCTCCTCCCTCCCCAAGCACATCTCCTGCTTTCCCTGAGGTTCTGGTTTCCTTGGCCTCTCCTCTGTCCCCGGCATCAGGGCCATCCACCCCTGGACACTCTCCCTCTTGCCCTACTCCCTGGCCTGAGTCTCTCCCCACCTGCAGGGCGTGACCTGGCAGCTGCCCGCCTCTCCTGCTCCAGCTTCAGCCCTGACTGGACCACCCACCGCCTGGCTTTCCCAGGCCTCCCCAGCCGAGAACCTGGACCTGCCTCCCCACCCTGCTGGCAGCTCCCGCTGCTGCCTCCTTTCTGGCTGCCAACCCTCCTGGCCCACAGCCTCTGCAGTGGTGCCAGCAGCCTGGAGAGGGCCATGTTGGAGGCTGAACTGTGACTCCCAAAACTCATATGTTGAAGCCTTAACCCCTCATTCCCAGGAACGGGACCATGTTTGGAGAGAGGGCATTTAAGGATGTAATTAAGGTAAGATGATGTCACTAGGGTGGGTCCTGATCCAATCTGATGAGGGTCCTTATAAGATAGAGGAGATCGGGGGACACCTGGGAGGCTCAGTGGTTGAACGCCTGCCTTCAGCTCAGGGTGTGATCCTGGAGTCCCAGGATCGAGTCCCACATCGGGTTCCCTGCATGGAGCCTGCTTCTCCCTCTGCCTGTGTCTCTGCCTCTCTCTCTGTGTTGTCTCTCATGAATAAATAAATAAAATACTTAAAAAAAATGATAGAGGAGATTGGGACACAGACACACACAGAGGACGACCACGTGAGGACAAAGGAGTAGGCAGCTATAGACTCGCCGAGGAAGGAGGCCTCAGAGAGAGCCACCCCTACCCGCACTTTGAGCCAGGACCCTCAGCCTCCGGGACTGGGAGAGAATAAATTTCTGCTGGTTGAGCAACCAGACTGCAGCATTTTATACAGTGGCCCCAGGACACTAACATGGGCCGGGGAGCCCTCCCCTCCCAGCTGGATGACACCCGGCTCCTCCTACACTCAGCAGGACACCACCAAGGACAGGACAACATGAGATGCAGACTGGAGGCCACCATGGTGGTGGGAGGGACAAACCTGTAAGGCATAGGGGGTGGTGCCCCGGGACACTTGGTGGCAACCCTGGGCGTGCATCTGGGGAGGAAAGAGAAGAGGAAGAGGAGGTGATGCTGGGGCTCACCTCCTCACCTGCCCACGCATCAGTGCTGGCCTGCCCCCTCCACCCAAGCTCCTGGTTATGCATGGCCAGCTTCCTCCAGGACCAGGTGGGGGGCCGCGCCTTTCCCTCAGGACCTGCTTTGTCTCCCAGGGCCCCAGCTATATCCACCCCAGTGCTGGATGGGGCACTGACCTGGGGCTTCCAAAGGCCAGTGAGACTCAGCCCGACCCCACCACAGAGTCTGGAGTCCTTGGCTTTCTCCAGGTAAGACACAGCGTCACGTGCTATTTGCAGAGAGGATCCCCAGACAGCTCACAGGTATGTTTCTCCCTGGGCCTGTGCTCCGGTGGCCCACCCTACTGGCCCCAAATGAGGTCCATATGCATTTTATACATTTGGAAAAACCCTTTGAGTCTCTGCTTCCTTCTCTATAAGATGGAAAAACCTTCCTAAGGGGCACTTTCCTTTTCTGAGGATCTAACCAGAGAGACGACATGTTGGGGGCTCAGTGCTGACGAATTGTCTTCACTTTTACTTTGGCTCAACTTGGGCTCAGGAGTGCCTCCCGGCACGGGGGGTGACACCACCCTGACCAGGGCGCTTGGGCTGCCTCAGTGGCCACTGGGGCTGCGTGTGCTCCAGTGCGTGCAAGGCATCCCCAGCCGGCAGCCCCTCACGCTCTATGCCCTGTCCATCCCCAGACGTGAGGGAGCGGGATTCCCGGCTTTCTCTCACTTTCTCTCTATCTGGACTCCAATATGCCCAAAGGAGCCCCATAATTAATCAGTACCCACTTGTGTTCTTGGGGGCTTGTTCACACCCACAGAGACAGACAGGGCTGGGCTGCTGGCCCACAGCCCCATCCCCAATCAGCCTGGCCCGGGCAGGCACAGTCCCGTAACAGCCTGGTTCTCATGGGGTCACATACAAGTCACACTGACACGGTGCGAGGGGCCCGACTCCCACTCATCTCCATGTTAAAGCCACGAGCCCCAGGTCACACAGCGGGGCAGAGGCAGAGCCAGGCTGCAGCACGGAGGCTTGCTCTACCGCCCCAGGATGCTGCTAGGAATTCTGGGGTCACCCACGTTCGGCCAGCACGCCCTTGTGTTTGGGCCTCTCCGGCCAGTCCCCCCACAGTGGGTAGCTGAGACCTCTGTGTCCAGGGTGAAAGGCAGGGCACTGCCTCTTGAACCTGCAGCCATGGTGCTCGCAGCCTGTGGAATCGGCCAGGCCAGCCCAGGCTGCCTCCCTCCCACCAAGTCTGCTCCCCCCGACCCTGCCCCAGTCCTGGCCTAACCCGCCCCCCTTCACCATGCATGGAGTGCCTCTCCAGCCGCTTCGCGGGCCGGGGCCACCCCCTGCCACGACTCTCAGATCACTGGCTCCACAGGCACAGGCCTTGAGCCTGAAAAGGCCGGGCCCTGTGACTCACCTCCCACACCACCTGCCGAGGCTTGGCTCCAGTAAGACATCACCTCCCTGCATCCCACCCCTTAGGCCCCCATTCAGTTGCTCTGTCCCTCCCTGTCGCCCCTGAAGCACCCTGCACCCCGGAGCCTGCCCACCCCACTAGTTGTCAGGGGGCACCTCTAGACCACTCTTTCTCATCTCTGCATTCCACCAGCTAGCAAGATACTCAGTAGGTGCTCAGCGGCTGGCTGTGTGTTGAATGGTCACATGACCCAATGACCAAGGATGCACCAGGGATGGGCAATCAGGGCCACAGCCTTCTGGAAGGTTTTCCTTGGGCACCCTCAGCAGACACCCAGGAGCCATCGTGTCCCAAGGGGTGGCCATGCACCAGGGGTATCCAGTCAGGGAAGACAGAGGGGCCTCCCCCTCCTAGCCCATCTTCACAGGAAATCCCAGTGCTGGTTTCTCTTGCTGGAGAACAACTCAGAGGCACGGACTGAGCTGGTCCAGAGCCACAAGGAGGAACACTTGTTAAATGACTGGTTACTGGTCAGTTAATGGTGAGTTAGCTCTTGTCTGGGTTACCAGGTAGCAGTAGAGCCAGGTCCACCTGAGGGGGGGGGTGCGACTTTCAGAGAGAGTTAGCAATGCCTGCACCCCCTCTGCTGCATTTCTCAGGGGCCTGCCCGGCCAAGCTGACCTGAAGCTGACCAGGGCTGGCTGCTTCATGCTCCTGAACTGGCTTGCACGAAATGAACAGTACAGAAGAGTACAGCTCTGTCTTCCTGTTGCCCAGGCTGGGAGCAGCCAGCCTGGCTGGGAGGATCATCTCCAAGGGGACCCGTGTGCCCAGGGAACACCATCTGTGCCTGCCCCGTCCACTCACTGCCGGCCCCGCCCCGGGTCTATTCTCACTTCTCAGGCGAGACAGAGGAGGCTCTGAGGAGCCAGAGTGAGGGAAGGTGAAATGCAGGACAAGAAGGGCATGACTGGGGCCTGGATCCTGTCCCAGGACACAGAGGGCAGGCCCTAAGTGGGCCAGCCCTGGGGCACGGCACCAGGGGGACAGCTGTTCTCAGGGGACCAGACGTTCCCAAGGTGTTTGCAGAGACACAGCCCAGGAAGCCAGCCCTGGCTAGGCAATGACCCTTTTCTTATTCCCTGTCCAGCATTCAGAGGGGCACCTCTTCCTCTGGGCCAGTGACTGCGGTCACCACAGGTTGACTCCCTGTGGACCCCAAAGCCAGTTCCACAGCCAGGTCCAGAATCCAGGAGCAGGTCTGGCCATCCCCACCTGTCCTGGAATGGGCTAGCCATGGGCGTGGGCCCCCATCCTAACCCAGTCACTCTCAGGAGATGGGCTTGGAGGCTTCTCAGACATGGGCTCCCTCCATTAGGTCCCTCAGGCAGGCCTTTGGGTTGGGATTCGGGCAGGAGTCCCACAGACAAAGGTCAGGACCCTGTGTGACTTTAGGGTCAAGGATGTTGCCTGGCTCATCTCTGAGGCCCAGGGTGGCCCAGGGCAGCTTATAGAGGGAACTGTGGGCTGTATTAGCCATCTGACACAATGGTGCATAGTTGTGATGTGCCCGCCACTTACTGTGACCCTGGTCATGGACATGACAAACTAGGCATGGTGCATCATCTGTGAGCAAGCCCATGCCTGTGAACATAGTGCCATGCAGTGGTCACCCACAGTGACCAAAGGGACCCTGCAGATGTGACTAAGGAGCCGGAGTTTGGAGGTCACCGGATGACATGGGTGGGCTCCCTGGGATCTCAGGTCCTTGTGAGGAAGGCAGGGGGGTCAGGGCACATGTACTGACAGACAGAGGGGTGTCTGAGTGATGCAGGGCCTCTAGACATGGGAATGGAGGAGGAGGGCGCTCTCCCTGGAGCCTCCAGAGCGAGCACAGCCCACCGACCCATCCTCAACTTCCGGCCTCCAGAAGTAAGGGAGCCCATTTATGGTTCTTTAAGCCACTACATTTGTGGTCATTCACAACAGCAGCCACCAGAACAGCTATAGTCACCAGCTTCCTCCCGTGGTCTCCACAGCTCTGTGTCCCTGGAGCTGGGAGACGGCTGTCATGTGGATCTGTCTCCTTCCTCACCTTCACACAGCCTCCTGTGTGGGGCCTTGGGATGGGTGCCATCCTGCACATGCTCAATGTGAGGGCCCCCTGGCAGTGGGGACCCAAGACCAGGCAAAGGGGCAGCAGCTGTGGTCCCACAGACTGAGGAGCAGGGGGCAGGGAGAAGGCTGGGCAGGCGCTCTTGGCCCCATCCCAATGTTCTTTAATTTGGGCTATGGTTCTGGGAATTCAGCCAAAATGATGACAGGTGCCATCTGTGCGCATGGGGAGCAGTGGGCCTGGCCACCCAATCCCCCTGGGGTCCCTTCCCAGGCTCTGGGCCTTCCTGGGTCTCCTTCACCAGCCAACATCCTGGTGAACCTCAGAGGCCCGAGTCCAGGGGAATTCCATCCAGCCCCACCAGAAGGTCCCAAATCCTGCTAGTTCTGGGGGTGGGGCTGGCTCGGGCCTGCCAGTGGGGTGGTGTGCATGCTGTAGAGCTAATGGGCGAGGGGACTCTGTCCGTCCTGCCTGGAGCCCTCCCTCTAGGGCTGCCCGGTCTCATCCTGCAGGCTGGGCTCCGATCCCACTTCCTCCAGAGGCCTTCCCTGACCGTGTGTCCTGCCTCCCCCACCTCCATCCCATCCCCTGGTGTCCTCATTCTCCCACCACCTGCCTTTGTTGCAAATCTGCTTGTGTAGGGGTTAATTACTGTCTCTTCCAGGAAAGTCAGTCCTGAGAGGACACCTGTGCCCACCTCTTTCCTCACAGCTGCACATCTGTGCCTGGTGCCCAGCTGTGTCTCTGAGCGGTAAAGAATTTGACTTTGCCCAGATGGAGGGCTGGCCTGCACCCGCGGCCCTGGGGGTGATCTGTGCCCACGGACAGCATGTTCGTTCAGGGAGGGGGTTGGCCACACCCAACAGTCTAAGGGGCGGGGCTGGCATCACGGGAGAGATCAGCCACGTGATGTGGGGGCGTCCAGGGTCGGCCACCTGGACAGTGAAATCAACCCTGTGGCAGCAAATCAATGAACCAATCAGTCAGTGAGGCCCCAGGAAGATCTCAGGACACAGAGCTTCCCGGCCTGGCAAACCTCGGTGCATCGGGTCACACATGGGCTGCGAAGTACCAGGTCCCATCTGCCGGGGAGAGGACCCTCCCGGACCCTGCCCCCCGCGCCTCCCCCTTTGGATCACTTCATGCATATCCGCTCCTGTAATAAACCCTAACTGTGAATGTTAACAGTTTTGGTGAGTCTGTGAGTCTTTCCCACGAATGAATAAGAGCAATTTGGGGCCCCTCAAACTTGCAGCAGGTGTCACAGGTGTGGGTGGTCCGGGGAGTGCTGGGATTGCCGCTAACGTCACAGGGGTTCCCAACTGTTGCAGCCCTCATGCCCGCTGGGCCAGTGGAGAGGTCGGCGGGCCGGGACGGGAAGTGCTGAGGTGCCCCGCCCCACCCTGCCCCGCCCTCAGCTGACCCACTGGCACACCTCGGCACCCCTGGGCTAATGCCACCTGGCCCATGGCCCCGGCGCCACCAGCCCGTGAACTGACAAAAGCCGGTGACCACACGCGGGCGCTGAAGAACGCGCTGGAGCAAGTAGTAAATTGTACCAACCTTGTTTTTGTCTTCAGTTCTGGCTGCTTGTCGGCACGCCGGGTGCCAGATGGAGGAACCTGCGGACAGATTCCCGAGAGGGAGGGTTCAGTGATTCTGCCCACGATGCAGGGCTGTGCAGAAAGCCAGAAGTGGGGTGCACATGGACGCTCGTTCACCCACCCATCCTCTGTGCTGGAGTGGGTGCTGGGCCTGGGGCAAGCAGGCCACTGCCCTGCCCCAGGAGATCACGGCATCCAGAGGAGGCTTCGTAGAAGAGGGGTGGCAGGGTGCTTCTAATTCAGAGACAGGGGAGAGGACGGGCTGCCCCTGTGTGTGGTGCACAGCTGGGGCAGTGGGAACCAGCTCAGGAATGGGGACTGGGAGGCAAGAGCTCTTGGATGGGCGGCAGGATGGGGAGCCTTGGCTGGGAACTGGGGTGTGGGGTAGAGAACAGATCTGGGGGCCAGAGGCCGGACACAAGCTTCCAGCACTGCCCCGACCCTGTCACTAACACTCTGGGTCTCTGTGCCCTTCCTGCCTCAGTTTCCCCAGCAGCCAGGGCGGCCCTGCCACCCATGCCAACATCCAGCACCATCAAGGTAACAAGAGCCCCACATGTCCTGAATTTTCCTAATTCAAGCTCAGGTTCTCCAGGTGTCAGATTGTTCCCATCTGCAAACAGGGCCGATACCATCCCTACCTCACGAGGCCATCGTGACGCCACGTCGCTGACCATGGCTGATGCACTAGCTGTACGACCATGGTTTATCTTGTGCAGGGTGGCCTCAGTGCACGTCAGCCCTCCCTGAGCCCCATCATTCAGGGCCCGGAGCTCCTGTCCTCCCTCTGGGGCCTCCCTGGACCTCAGCCTGACCCCCTCACCCACTCTGCTGCCATCTAGGTTCAACGGCCCATCAAGAAGGGGGCTGTTTCTGCCCCATTCCCTCACCTGCCCTCCCCCCCAACCCAGACAAGCCACAGAGGGCCTAGCATGTAATAGGGACTTACAAGTGTGTGTGAGGGAAGAGCGACATCCTAGTTCTTGCAGAGCCTTCCAGCCCACATGATCTAACTTATAACTGCCCTTCCCTGGCTAAACATCTGTGTTGGCCTGGAGCTCCTGGGGAGACCACGATTTAGTCTGTGTGTGTGTGTGTGTGTGTGTGTGTGTGTGTGTGTAAAACATTCATTTTTAACAGCTGTTTACAATTACAAGAGTAATAGGTAAGCAATTGATATTCCTTATTAAAAATTAAAGAAACCCAACAAAACATAAATAAGAAAATTAAAACCAGCTACAACCTCCTGCCCACGCGGCTCAGGTGGCCTTCTAGCATTTCCTGTGCTTTTTTCAGAGAATGTGGATAATGCTGTACAAACATAGTCTTGTACCCTATGATTGTTGTTTAAGATGTCCAGAACAGTTCTCCCATATAATTAAAAATCAAAGCATAACCGTAGGGCCATGGGACATTCCACCATGCAGGGAGAGGAGGGTTTATCTATTGCTCGCCCACTGGTTGTGCTATTTTATTTCTAAAGTCATGTTAGCGGGGAGGTGGGGGTCCCTGGCATGCAAGTCCTAGCACATCTCACTTACTTACTTAAGGACTTCCTAGAAATGGAGTCTTGGCTCCAAGGGCATGGGCATTTTTGAGGCTCTTGATGCAAACTGGTGATTTCCCAATGTTTGCCACAATCCGCCAGATAAGAGGCCCATTTCCTTGATCCATCAAAACGGGGACATACCCTTGCTTTATAATCAACCCACTGGGGAAAAACAGCCTCTAAGTGTTATTTTCATGTGGGTCTCCCTGATAATGACAGAGCGTCCTATATTTATTGGAAAGGGATCACCCCGGTAGGTTGTGCTGTGGTAGTGGGGATGCGTGGGCGTCCTCCGTCTCCACGGAGGACATGAGGCTCACTGGGGCCCCTGTTCTTCAGAGCTTCCACTGTACGGGATTCATCACCAACACCTTGATGGAGTGGGCCAGGCAGAGGGTCTCAGGGTGTCCAGGCGGGGGCGGGGGCCAGACACCCAGGCTCTGGTGTTCCACCGTGTGGAGATGGAAACCCCTGCTCTCGGTCCACCCCTGGTCATACCCACTGGGACCTCTGAGGCTGGGAGAGGGGATGGGACTGGCTTTGTATCCCTGGGAAAGTCACGGCAGGGCCCGCTTAAGGAATGGGTTGCCAGCCTCAGCCCAGAGCCATGAAGAGGGTCTTTATTCCCTGAGACTGGGTCCCCCTTGATGGCGAGCTCGGGCCAGGGGCCGCCGTCCCAGTGCCATTGTGCTGGGCATCGGGAAGGCCTGAAAGCACTATTTATGGTGGAGGGGTGCACAACGCCGGTGCAGGGGGGTCCCCTCCCACCCAGACACCCCAGCAGCATCGGGAGGAGCGCACAGGACGCCTTTCATGGGCTCTCCAGCAGACGCTCGAGGAACAAGAGGGGACGCTGGGGATGAGGCCGCCCTGGCTGACATCACCCCACGAGGTTCGGCTCAGAAAGGGAGGCCTGTCTGACACGCAGCCTCAAGACGGCCGCCCCCATGAGGTCATGAAACAGCCTGTGAGTGGCTCTCCCGTCCGTCCAGCCCCGCTCGGCTTGCCTCCGGGGCCACTGGACACAGAGGGATCATTGAAAAGAAATAGCGGCTGAAGAGAGGTCTCCGTCCCAAACCCATCCTCTTGGGGAGGGGCCGAGCAGCCCTGGGCACCCCCTACCCCACACCCAGGCCATCACCGGGTCCCGTGGTTCTGCCTCCCACACGCTGCCGCCGGGCTGGGGGGTGGGCTTCCCAGCTAGCGAGGTAACAAGGCGGCCCACCCGCTCACACCGGCACGTGGTATGGGCCCGAGGGGACCAGGCGGCGCGGTTTTGTCCTTACCTTGAAGATACATCTCCTCGCCTTCCGCAAACATCCGGCCACACCTGACGCATAGCGCACACAATGGGTGGTAGTGTTTTTCTCCTGCCTGTGAAGACAACGAAGTAGACGTGTTTCTACCAAAGCTGAAGTGGCCACACTTGGCTGGTGGGCACAGCACACCCATACGCAGGGTACTCAGGGGATGCGGAGGGGATGCTGTGTCCCGTATCCACTGGGGGCTCGAGACGGCTCCAGAGAGAGTCTGGGTCCCGTGAGCGCTGCCAGGCTGTCCAGGGCACTGGGTGTGGAAGCGGGCCATGTGGACCGGGGGCCATGTGCACCGGGGGCCACGTCTGGGAGCAGACACCCAGCTGCACCGCCCAACCTCCAGGGGAGCAGGGGTGTTACCCAGCTCCTCGGGCTCCATGGTCGATGGATCTGCCTCCCTCATGAGGCAGGGGGGCCAGGTCCTGACCGTCTTTGTACCTGGGGTCAGGGGAGGGGAGAGGGAAGGCTGAGGCTAACATGATCTCCCCAAACAGAGGCACCAGAGGGGAGGGGTGTAAGATGATTAATCCTGGTCTTACACATCTCCAAATTGCTCAAATTTCTCAATTAGTGTTTACTGCTTTTATAATCCTTGGCATCCCTTAAATTAGGCGAAAAGATTAATATGGACATAACGTGAGCTGATTACATGAACTGATGTAAGGACACAGCAGAATCACCCGAACTACTGCGTCTGGCACCTCTGCACGGCAATATTCTCAGCCTAGGGGTAGGGCAGGCGGCAGCTGGTTGCCCGCTGTGGTGCCAACGCCATGTCCCACTCTTTCCGGGAAGAAGTCTGACGGCCACTCCCTGAATGTGACTTATTAACGACCACGTCCAGGGATGAGCAAGTCATCGGGTAAAGTGAGCACAAGGGTCTCACTCTCCTCCCCTCCCGGCTGAGCTGGTGAAAATCTGCCCCAAGGTGATGCCTGTGTTGGGGAGGAGGAACCCAGAACACACGCCTCTCCCGAGCATGTGCCCTATGGCACCGCCCACCAACGCATCTGGGTGTAGGGGTTCCTCCCGGGGAACCCGAGGGGAACCCGAGGATGATGCATCCTGTCATCCCGCCCGCTCTGGAGCCTCGCACCTGCGCACCAATTGTTTCTACCCACACTCCACCTGCGGCCCTCAGTGTTCTTTATCTCCTCTCAAATGCCACCTCCTCCTGAAAGCCTCCCAGGCATGCTTCCATCAAGTCCCTCTCCTGGGCTCCCACTGGTTTCTTCTTCCCGGCTAGACAGGGAGCCCCTCGAGGGCCGGGCCTCGCCGGGGTCACTGCAGGAACAGCTAGTTGCGGGGATCTATCTTGGTAGTGGGTCGCAGGGCAGCACTGACCCAGGCAGAGCGAGGGTGAAGAGGTCATTTCAGTGATTTTAAACCGTGTGACCTCTGACCTGTCCTCACGCCCGCCTCACCCAGGCCGCCTTCCCATGGCCTCAAACAGCAGTTCTGTGACAGCCACTTGGAGGAGACAGTGCTCCCTGGAGGGAAGCAGACCCTGCCATCTACACCTGAGTAGGAAGACAGAAAACCATGGGGATGGTTTCTAAGACAACAGGCTTGAAACCTCAAGGGGACAGATGAGAATTAACACAGAGTGGAGATGCAGCCCCAGGCCGCTGTGAAGGGCAAGGGCCTGTTGTTAGGGAAGCACTCCCACCCAGATCTGGCAAATGCCCCCAGCCCCCAAAACTAACAGCCACTCCACCTGCGTTTCGACAGCTTGAGGCCCTTTCACACGCTACCTTGTCCTCACCCTCCAGAAGCCCTATGAGCTACATTATCCTCATGTTCCACTTGCTGCACAGAGAGGCAGACTGAGTGGAGAAAGGTCACACAGCACAGAGCTGGTGGGGCAGGACTGCAGCAGCCCGGGAGCACAGTCTTTGGGCCTTCCCAACTCTGGCCTGGGTCCAGGGTGCTGACCACAGCCTCACGTGCTTCCCAGCCCAGACCCTGCCTGGACTGTCCACATGCAGACCCTGAGGACCTAGGAGGGAGAAAAGAAGCCGACACCAGAGGGCACAGTTTGCATGCGTACCAAGTACAGAACCAGGCAGACGAGTCTCCTTTACTCAAGTCAGGGAGGCAGCTGCCCCGGGGAGCCGGGAGGTGGTCCCGGAGGCCGCGCTCGTTCTCCTTCTTGATCTGGATGCTGGTCACCAGGCGTGTCCGGTTTGTGGACACTTATCAAGCTGCACACCTAGGATTCGTGCATGCCTGTTTATGTGACACACCAAAAAAAACCCCACAAAATGGACTGATGACCTAAAACTATAAATCTCTTAGAAGAAAACACAGGATTGCCTCTCGGCCACTCCAGGTTTGGCAGTGTATTCTTGGATTTGACACCAAAAGCATGAACAGCAGCAACAAAAATAGGCTTTTTTTTTTTTCACAAAAATTAAACTGTTGTGCATCTGAGGACATGGTCAAGAAAGTGGAAAGACAACCTGTAGAAGGGTAGGAGGCATTTGAAACCCTAGACGTGATAAGGGCTTAGCATCCAGAACATATAAAGAATACTTGCAGCTCAGCGACAAAGAGACAATTAAAAAGGGGGCAAAGAACTCAAATAGACATTTTTCTAAAGAAGATACACAAGTGGCCAAGAAGCATATACAAGGCACTCGATAGAACCATCGTGGAGGAAGGGCAAGTCCAAACCACCACGAGACGCCACTCCACACCCATCAGGGTGGCCATAATCGAGGCAAAACCAAAGGGATGGTACGTGTCGGCAGGAATGTGGGTGAAGCGGGGCCCTGTGCACCTGCTAGGGGCAATGTGGGTGCGGCTGCCAGCACCCCAAAAACTGAGATGCAGAGTCACCATCTGACCCGGCAGTTCCACTCCGAGCGTAAGAAAAATGAAGGCAAGGGCACCCACATCTTGTACCGGAGTGTCCAAGGCAGCAGTTTTCACAGCAGCTCCAGGGTGCAAACAGCCCCAAGAGGCCCTGGGGTGGGGGCACGCGGGCAAATAAACTGTGGTCCAGCCACACAACGGAATATCCTTCAGCCTTAGAAAGGAATGGAGTGCTGACCCGTGGGGCCCCGAGGTGTCCTATAAGGTGGGACACCAGAGCTCCATCTCCTCCATGTGAGGGCCCAGGGAGAAGGTGGCCATCTGCAGGGCAGGCAGCGGGCCCTCCCCAGAACCGAATGGGCTGGGCCAGCACCTGGATGGCAGACATGGGGCCCCCAGCACTGTGATAACACTGCCTGGGGTTTCCACATGTAAGGCCCAGAAAGGCTGCAGCAGCTCCAGCGATCGAAGACTGGCCCTGGAGTCAAAAGTCGAGCTGCCCTCGCTCCTTGTACCTATCGGTCCCCAGTGTCACTCCTGTTGTCTCTCCCAGTGGCCACAGTGACCGGATGTTCCGTATCATCAGAACACTGAGCAGCCCCTGGCCTTTCAGGGCTTCTCCTCCCAATTTCTCCTCCCAATACACGAAGCACAACCGGGCTGGAGCGTCCATAGCTGGGGCATCCTCTGTGCAGCTACCCAGCTACCCAGCCCCCAGCCAGGTAGACAGCCCAGCCCCTCACCAGGCAGGTCTTAAGATGACTCAGATTTTTAAAGAACATTAAAAGCTCATGAGATTCTGCAGTGCATGATTTTAAAAAGATGTCTGTGCCTTCTGACGAGTGGCTGTCATCTTTAATAAGACAGAACGAGGCTCATTAGGAACCAGGAAGGCGGGCTCCCAGGCTCACAGAAGGCACCACTGTACCAAGTCAGAGCGGAGGGGCTGGCGTGCACCCCATCACTGACATGACACGCAGGGCGCGGCCAGAGCTTGGGACTTAGGGCAATGTCTCTGGGCTCCAGAAACTCCCACCCCGCCCCTCCTCACCGGGCCGTGGGCCACACGGAGGGACAGCCCTAGGCGGTGACATGCCCGGCACGTGGGAGGCAGGTGTGCTCTCATCCCTGGCCCCTTCTCTTCCCTGGACCACAGGCCGCAACCCCCCACCTTGTGCTTTCCGAGTGCTCCCCTGGATTCTGTGCCGCCGCACGAGTCCCCTGCCCCGGCCAGCCAGCTCCTGGGGGCTGCACACGTGCATCTTCCGGCCCAACTCAAAGCTTTCGTTTCCTTGTTGAATGGCCAGAACTGCAGCCAGATCTCAAAGACCTAACCACCGGTGAGCACTGAGATAATGAAATTTACCGTGAAGCTAATCAAAGCCTTCAGCGGGACTGGACAGATGCCGCCGGGGAGCGTCCGGCAGCCACACACCCCTCCCTTCCCAGATCGGCTCTGCCACGAGACTCCCAGGAGCTACCTCCCCCCAGAAGAAGAGCCCCGCTCCTCAGCATGCAGGGCGCTGTAGGCGAAGCCCTGTGGACCCACAGCCCCCTACGCAGAGCCCCTGACCTCGCCCCCTGACGCTCCCCATCGCTGACCCCACTCTCCCCATCACTCTCGGCTTGGGGTCTCTGCCGGGAACACGTGTCACCACGCTGGCACGGCTCGCCCACTCTCTCTCCTTCTCCCTCTCTCCCACCATGCAGCCTGATCCACATGCTGTCCCCTTGCCCTCCCTAGACCCCAGACCCCGCGGCAGAGCCACATGCAGGAGTGGTGTCCCATAGCGACAGGTGCCTGCTGCTGGTTGGCAAGTGGTCCCCAGAGGACACGAGGACAGTTCTGACCAAATGAGTCTGGGAACAGATCATCTGTTCCACCTTTGGGTGTATTCACGGGCATATTAGTGTGTCACATTGCTGAGATGCCCTGCAGCAAAGATGTCCACTGGGACCCATGCCCTGGTACCTCAAACCCAGAAGACCAGGGGGCACAGTGATGCCAGTGTAGACGCTGTTATGGACCGATGGGAAGGGTAGGGACCCAGGCTCTGAACTGATGTTAGATGTATGAGCAGGGGCATGGTATCAGGCTAAAAGCCAGTCAGCACACTCCCATGTCTGTGTGTGCGTGTCCGTGTGTGTCCGTGTGTGTCCATGTGTGTGTATGCACAATCTAAAATACTGATTTTTAAGTGCTAACAGTAGTTAGTCTGGGCGATGGCGTGGATCACGGAGGATTCTTCAGTTTACTTCATGATAAACAGGTATTCCTTCTGAATATGTTTTTTTAAATAAACACATGCATCAGATTACAAAAAGAGAGGGAGAAGTAGAGGCCTTGGGAAGTAGCATGTATTTCTGTCCTGAGGAAATGCCTTTATTTTTCTGAAACATACGGTTTATTTTCTCCCAATGATATAAGTTATAGCAGCTCACGAGGGTAAAATGGAACACACCGAAGGAAGACGGGGAAGCAAATACCCGATGTCCTGCAGCCCTAGGGGACGGTTTATTGGAAATGGAGGAAGGTTTAGGGGCTGTCTGACCCAGGGTGGAGCTGCCTGTGTGGCCCCCCTCCCACCAGGGCTGCCGTGGGTGGGGGGGGACACAGTGTTCGGAGGGTCTGTAGGTGCGTGGAGGGTTGAAGAAGAGAGAAGGGGAGGCAGGCAGGGGAGGGAGACGGAGAGGGAGGAATTAATGAGTGGTCCCAGAGGGACCCTGTGCTTCTCATTACCATAGAGACAGGCAGGCTGCACCAGGCAGGTGGGGCTGACAGCAGCACAGCAGCGGTTACCAGGAGGGCAGGGCCCATCCCCGCCCCCGCCACTCCCACCTGTGCAGGGAAGCGCTCCAGCTCACAGAGAACAAGGCAGGGGTGGGGTGAAGGCGAGGACTGAGCCAGGGACTCCCCCTCACTCAGCACCTCCTTATCAAACTCTGGGTCTAGCTGGTCTGGTTACATCACGGTTCCTGGCAGACAATCCTGTCACCACCTGTCAGCTCCTTCCAACCTGGAGCCTCCTCTGCCCCCACACCCCGGCCTGCCCCACACTCCCAGCCATCCATCCATCCGTCCGTCTCGGCAATAGGGTGGGAGCAGAGCCCCTCCCAAGGCCCCCCCAGACCCATGAGGCTCCTCCACCTGCACCCCAGCATGGAGCAGGCTCCCCAGGACAGATGCCTCGAGACATGCAGGATGGGGGAAGGCCCTGGGAAGACGATGCTACATAACTAGGAGTAACTCGGGAAGCGGGAGGAAAGGCTCCACCGTGGCCACCGAATGCACATTTCACGGGCGGGCGGACAGGCAGACGCCGCTGGCGCCCGGATCGAGATGGCATTCTGCCCACCGCACACAGACACAGCACAGATTGATGGCTCCTGCTGGCGGGGAAGGGGGCCTGGGCTCCTCTCCTGCCCGGGGTCCGAGGACAGGCAAGCTCTGAGCGTGACAAGCATCTGCCGGGGGTGACAGGTGCCTTGGGGAGTCTCACATGGCTGCTCTGTCCAGCTCCCCGCAAGCCCACCCACCGCAGCCCGGCATGGCTCCTTCAGCCTCCCCATCAGCCCTCCGAAGCGCCTGGCAAGGCTTCCTACCTGCACGGGGTCCTCGAAATAGAGCCCAGTCCGATCGGCCAGTCTCCAGGGCCCCTGTCCAGGGCCCACTCCCCAGGCAGGTCAGCAGGAACGGGCAACGTGACCGTGAGCAGGGGCACCCTCAGCCTTCAGTCACAGGTCTGGATCCTTTTCCTTCTTCTTCAGATCCTGCCACCTGCCACCTGCCAGCCCCAAGAGCCCACCGCCCACCCCGCAGGGCGCGCACGCTCCTGGCCAAGTTTAGGTGGCGGCGCGGCGGTGGCGGTGGCGGCTCCCCCTCTGCGGAGTCGGGCTCGTCTCTGCCGCCCGCTGCTGCCGCTGCCGCTGCCGCTGCCGCTGCCGCCTGGCGAGGAGGATGCTCAGAGCTTTGCAGAGCCCGCCGACTCAGCCACGCCAGGGAAGTCGCCGATGGAGGCGAAAACAAAAGCATTAATCTTCCCTGGGAGGCCCTTTATGCTCTACCACTGACGAGCAGGAAAATCCTGACCTGTTTTTCCCTTGCTCTTTGTAATTAAGACGGTCCCTTCCTGATGATAAACCAGAATGCACAGGAGGGGCTCCGTTCACAGTCAGTGAACCCCCACATTCTATATTTGGCCCAGCATTAAGTATCAGGGATGCACGGTGCACACGGGGTCACCCCACCTTCCCGATCCATCAAGGGGAAGCTTGAGGATGACCTGGTGACAATAAGGAAGCCCCCAGCCCCCAGGATTTACCACAGAGCCAGCCCTGAGCTGGGGGACACTTCACAGACGATCTCTCATTGAATCCCCGAGATACTGGAATGTTCTCTTGCTCAGCACAGTGCTTGTTCAGAGCAAGTAGCAGGGTTGGGGTCAGATCTCCACCCTCGCCATGGGGTGCAGGGGCTGGTGTCCTCAGTTGCTAGGAAGCAGGTCAGGCTAGGTCCACACACCCACAGCAACAATAGTTCAGCCCACCTGAGCCTAGGACGCACCCCACTTTCAACCATCAGCTGTTTCAATGTGGCAAGATGGCACAATGTGCAAACTGATGTCTACACACTGGGACAGGTGGCATGCTGGGGAAGGGACAGGCACCAGGAGCCCGGGCGGCCTGGGTTCACATCTGCTCTGCCACCTGCCTGGAGCGGCCGACGACCCAGCACACATGGGAGGTGGGGAGCCCAGGAGAGAGCAGAAGGGTCTGGAATAACCTTTGCAAGAAACAAGAGACAAGTGCTTTGAACTGCTGGCAGTGGGCAGGCGGGGCCTGTCCCTAATATTTAGAGTGCCATGAGGTCCAGTAGAGTCATAGTCTCCGTCCACATATTCAGAGGACACAGGTATCAATATTACAGTCACCACCCAAGACGATATGTACAAGATGCCTGCAGACTAAATGCCAACAGTCTCCTCATGTGACCCATATGCCCCAATAGAGCTGAAAACCACAAAGACCCCCACCCCTGCATAAGCAGGCAGTGCGTGGAAAGTACTAATGCAGGCACTGTGGTCTGCTCAACTGTCAGAAGGACCGGCATCAAGGGATGAGAGGAAGTCACAGTCAGCTTACTAAATTCCAGAATAGTCTGTTGATGGAATATGATGCAACATTGACCCATGCCGACCTACAGACCAGGCTTGAAGACCCCACTCTGTCAGAAAGTCAGGGCCACATGCTGTCTGACCCCATTCATGGGACCTGTGTGGAAGAGGGAAGTCTGTGGACAGACAGACAGGAGGGAGACCCGAGGTGCTGGGGCATCAGGCTCTTGTTGAGGTGATGGAAATGCTCTGGAACGGATGTGCGACATGCATGCGTCTGCGTGGATACTGACAGCCACCAAATGGCACGCGGTAAGGGCTGAACTGTGCAGTATATGAGCTATGTTCCCAATATAGCTGTGTAACAAAAAGGCCCATCGTACAAAACAAACAAACAAACAAACCAACCATGCACACACAAAAACAGGGGAATTGACTAAATAGGAAACGTGATTGGGACAAAATCAGAATATGATGTTGTGCAAACTGTTTGGTCTCAACTAGAATTACACAGAGAGAAAAAGCCAGAAGGGAACCAGCCAAAAAGTTCAGCTACCCATGATCCGATTATCAGTGATCCACCCCCCTTGCCCGATTTGTGCTCTGCACACTCCCCACGGTCCGTGAGCATGAGCGTGGGATCACACCCGTCCTCAGGCCCCTCCCCCCAGAGCTGGGGCCCTCCCACTGTGTGCTGACCTGGGGTGGGGGGGGGTTCATGCTCTGGGAACCAGGGGAGGGGCGGCACTGTTGTGTGGGGTGGGTGTGACACCCATTGCCCTTTCCCCTTCTCGCTCCCGGGGTGGGGGGCCACTGAGGGCTGAGAGGGAACATGGGTGGGGCTGAAGCTGGAGCAACTCTGTCTCTACTGCTCAGATGGACATCAAGTGTAATTTCAAGAAAAGTAGCTCAGCACTCAGTGTATGATTCTGCTGCAGCATTGGGGAAGCCAATTATGTGCCAGGCAGTAACTGTGGGTACAGGCAGGGCTGTGGTCCCTGGAGTTTCGAGGGGCACCCCATGTGCCCCACTGTCCCTGGCCTCCAGCCTCTGGCTTCAGCTGCAGCCCCATGCTCTTTAAAATGCCAGTCTGACCCGGGCGATCCCTGGCTCCAAAGCCTTCATCATCCCCCAACGCCCAGAGGCCCCTCTGTGACCTGCTGGGAAAGGCTCCCAAGCCCCTCGGTGTAGTCCTCTGTCCCCTGTGCCTCTTCCCCAGGGACAGGGGCAGCCCCAGCACAAAGCCAAAGAGAGGCTGAGGAATGAGTAGAGGGACGGGCTGGGTCTGACACCCAGGTGCATGGGGTGTGGTCATCCCATGGGATTTATCTTACTGAACATATCACAGTGAATGCTACATGTTCATTTTTCACAAAGAGACAGAGCCTTGTAACTCCCACGGCCATCAAAAGACGCACTTTCAGCACCCCAGAAAGCCTGCCTACCCCGTGACGGCTGTGTGACCGGGCTGGCCCAGTGAAAACTCCTACGGGCCTCCTATGGGCACAGGGTCCTGCCACCTTTGCGCACTTTCATTCCTCCAGAACTCAGATCCTCATCTAGACACAGGAGGGCTGGACCCAGGATCTCAAACAAGCCCCCCACACACACCTCTCCAGCCTCATCAGCTTGTAGAGGGCACAGGAGAGAACATGTCCAGGGAAGGCTTCCCGGAGATGGCCCTCGCTGAGCAGGCCCTGGAAGGCTAAGGAAGCTGTCCCCTGGAAGAGCTGGGAGGAACAGGGAGGCAAAAGCTCAGGGGTACATATTCCTGCACAAACGCACATGAACATCGGACACCCCGAGGGGCACGGGAGCAGGACCTGGGTCAGAGAGGGTGCCCAGCGGCCCACTCACCTCCAGCACGTGCCCCGTGATGTACTTCTCACAGCCGTCACAGCGGATGCCGAACTTGGTGTGGTAGTCGGCCTCACAGTAGGGCAGCCCGTCCCTGCAATGAGACAGGCCATCAGGACGCGTACAGGTTCACCTGGGGATCCGGCAGCCAGGTGAGGGCTGGTGGTGGCCTCCAGAGGCTCAGCCGTGGGATTAAGAGCTGCATCTGGGAAAGTGAAGATGCTCCCACTGACGGGGCTCTTCCTTCCAGTTCATTCTATCCCCCATTCAGTAATGTGGGTAGGAAATGGCCTATTGACTTACAAAAGGGGTCTGGGGTGTCCTACAAAATCATGAGCCACAAAGTGTGTGTGACAAAGGTGCCCATGCCAGGACCAGGTCTGTGGATGATGCAATGTCACGTGGCACATGTGGGGTTGGGACAGAGCCTCTCTGTCCCCGAGTGTGGCGGCAGAGGCATCTGGCCTCGTGGGAGGGGACACGAGGGCTGCAGGTGACCTGTCCACTGTGCATGCATATTTACAGCGTGCCCACACCACGCCAGGTGTCGTTCGTGGTGTGGGGAAGCAGTGACGAGTGACACGTGGCTTTGGGTGCTGCTCCCAGGTATCTGGGCAGTCTTGGGCGAGTCAATGCTGAGCCTCCCCTGAATGCACTGAGAGGGGAATAGCTGGTTCTTGGGGCTGCTGACGAGAAGATAGTGCACGTGGCGGGAGCTGGTTTGAAAGTGACTGTAATTATTATTATAGGGTCAACACAACATGGGAGGAGGCAGCGTGGCGGCAGAGGGAGGGCCCAGAGGTGGTGCCAGGGTTCCTGGGTTGGTGGCCATGCTCCGTGCAGGGAGGTGCTGGTGGGCAGCAGTGAAATGAACAGGCTTGCACTCAAATGCCACCACTCCCCAGTTGTGTGCTCCTAGGCAAGTCGCTTAACCTTTCTGAGCCTCGGCTTCCCCAACCATAAAACGGGAGAAATTATAGTAAAGTCTAATGAAGATGTGGCCAACACCTAGCACACGGCAGGCTCTTGCCAATTGGTGGCCAAGGCCACTGCCATTGCTAACCAGGGCCGCCCCTCATCCTGGCCCGGCCCAGTAGGATTTGGGTGTGGAGGCCACTGGCATGCAGGGGCACCTGCTGCCCGAGCGCATCTCCCTTCCCCTGCACTGCCAAGGTCTCCCTGTGGCTCCCAGTAGGGTTTTGATTATCATGTGGCTGCCAACAGAGGCTAAGAGTTCTCAACTTTTGGGAGACCAGAGCTAATGCCACCCTCTGGACCTTCTGTAGGACGGGAAGGCTTCCTGGAGGAAGTGGCCTGCAGGATGGGAAGAGGGGGTGGTTTGGAGCCCCTGGAGCCGCAGTGACCACAGGCTATTTCTCTGACCACAGCTCCGGAGAGGATGAAGCCTTTCCTTCCAGGAGAGGAAGAGGTACACTGAGCCCTTAGGACCAACTTTCAAATGTCGCTGACCTCAGGGTCCCAATTACTTCCCACAATGGTGTCTGTGCCCCAAACCCAGGAAGCAGAGATAATGTCTCTATGGCAACACCAACGCACCCTCCTTGTCAATTCTGGGACCGTTCTGGAGGCTGCTGAGTGACAGGCGAGCCGTGTGGGTGAGCTACCAGCGAGCGCCCTGGGGGCTGGGCAGGTCTTACTTTACTTTAAAGTGCTCTGTCTCCCTGGGCTGCCTTCATGGGAGGCACGCCCCCCTCTCCTTCACTGTGACAGAGGAACGGCCAGTACCTCCTCCGGCCTGATGCAGCCTGGACAGAGGTCCGTCTTGGCTTGGGGACTTTCACTGAAAACATGTGGACTCCGTGACTCCACACGTAGTGGTGGAGACACAAGACAGAGAGACCCCACACTCCCTTCACCCCGTTTCCCCTGTGAGTGACCTCAGGCACAGCGAGGGTACGATGGTACGAGTGCACCCAGGGGATGGATGGGGGCACATCGGCGACCTCCTCTGGATTCCCCAGGTGTGATGTGTACTCCTGCCTGTGTGAGTGTGTATGTGTGCACGTGCGTACAGGTTTCATCCTGTGCCGTTCTATGGCACAGCCAGTTCCTGGGATGTTTCTGCTCCCTCGGGCATCGAGAACCAGCAGGGTCTCCCACAATAGCTGCCCAGAGCCCTCAAACTTGCAGGAAGGAGCCTGCTCTGCACACTTCAGCTCACCCCCTAACCCTGTGCCACAGGGGGGCTTCCCTGACTCAAGGCCCCTGACCCCAGGGAATGAAATGCACCCCTTCCCGGCAAACCAGCCACTCCTGCTCAGGGCTAAGTCCTTCCAGAGGCTCCATTTGCACTGCCTTCTGAGGACACGTGCCCTCCGACCCCCCACTCAAACCAGCCGTCACACCTGGGGTTGGGGACACAAGGTCGGCGGGGCAGGGGGCTGCCCGATGGTCAAGCACTGCAAAAGTTGGAGTTGGGACTGAGTCATCACATCTGTCCCCACCACTCCTGCTGCTGGAGTCAGCTGGCATCCAATGCACATCCTGCAGGTGACCCAGGTGCCACAGGAGGGTGACCCCCATGGATGGGCAAGGGCGGGGGACACTGTCTCTGTTTCAATCCATAGAAATGGAGCTGAGGTCTCTGCAGGCCACACTAGGGAAGCAAGGCTGGTGGGAGGAGATGCCAGGCTGGGGGTCAAACATGCAGGGCCCTGAGGCCACACAGGGGACAGGACAGGAGTGGCCGCAGGGAGACGGACGGAGCAGGCTCACATGGGAGGAACCCGCCACTCACTTGCTGATGTACTCCGCATCGAGCTGCTTCCCACACGTCTCACACTTAAAACAGCCCAAATGCCAGTGTTTGTCCAAAGCCACCAGGGACTGACCGTTTTTTATTTCTGCGCCGCAGCCTCCACAACCTGGAAGAAAGCACAGGACACAGACATCGTCGTTGTGGGCGCCAGCACTGCTGGGTCTCCAGGCACAGAAGTGCACAGCGCCGGCCTGTGGCGGGGGACAGAGGGGACCATCCGGGTGAGTGTGCTGCAGGGACCTCGTGACATGCTGGCTGCTGTGAACACGTAGGAAACAAATCACAAAGTTCATCCCTGCACACATTGAGCACCAATTGCATGCAGTCTGGGCCCAGAGCTGACAGAGGATGGGCGCCAGGCCGGGATAGCAGGGGTGTCTTCAAACAGGAGCACACTGCAGGGTGGGGGCTGCCTGGACGGGGGGCAGCAGGCCTGGGGGCCCCCACCTGTCCTCCTCTGTCCACAAGTAGACTGTGAGCCTAACTGACCCAACCGATGTGCCCACCCAAGAGAGGTCTGGGCTGCCACCCCCTGCCACTCCTTCCTCTGGGCTCTCGCCTGCCTGGTTGCCTCTCCCAGGAAGCCCTCCTGGCCCACTCATCTGGATCTCCTTCTTCGACTGTCTCTGCTGCATCCCAGACACAGCCTGCCAGTCCCCAACCCGAGTCCCTGCTCCGAGTCTCAGTCCAAGTCCCAGCCAGGCCCCAGGCAGTCAGCCTTGGGGAGTCCTCCCCTTGGCAAACCACCCACAGGTGACATGTGTCCTGCATTCTGTAGTCCCCACCTGGTCTGAGCCCTGCCTGGTGTTCCCACACCTCCTCTGCTCCCCACTACAGTGTGCCCACCCCTGCTCAATGGCCCCTGGGCCCCAGGCCCTCTCCTTCACACTTGGGCCTCTAGATCCTGCCTTCCAGCTGTGGGCGGTCACCCCAGGGCCCCCACAGCCAGTGTCACCGGTGCCGAAGGATGAGGGGGTGGAGCAGGACAGGGGAACATCGGGCGCAGAAACAGGCAGCATGACTGGCCCAGGTGCACCTGTGTGAGTGTGTTGTGTGTGTGCGCGCACCAGTGCCTTTGTGTGAATGTGTGTGTCTGTGTGTGATCGAGACTGTTCATGTATGTGTGTCTGTGTGTGTGTGCATCCCTGTGAATGCGTCTGTGTGTTCCTGCATGAATGTGTGTCCTTGTATGAGTGTGCCTATGTGTGTGTCTGTGTGAATATGCATCTGTGTGTGAGCATGTCCCTGTGGCTGTGAGCACTTGTGTGTGTGTCTGCGTGTGTTGGGGGCAGGAGAGGCAAGGCCTTGGGGAGCCCCGCAGTGTCCTGAAGAGCAGAGCCAAGGAGAAGTCATGTGGCAAATCGCCCCCACAGCCAGCAGGAGCCCCTGAGCAGAGCAGCCTAACAGTCCTGGGCTCAGCCTAGGGGCAGGCAAGGGGAGCAGGGACCCTGCTACTCAAAATGAAAGAATGTGGCCCAACAGGCCTGGCTACCAACCCTGGCCCCACCACTCACGGGATCACACTAGAGCCAAGCTCTGTACTCTTTGGGGTCCCTGTTTGCTCACTTGTGGGGTGGAGCAATCCCATTAAATGGCAAAACAGAAAGATCACACAGGCCATGCCGGCACAAGAGGGTGCCGCCCACCAGGACAGAAGGGGACGGAGCTCCGGCGGGGTGTAAGGCAGGGGCTTCACAGGTGCTACTCTCACCGGTGCTCTGGCTCTTCTCCTTGGCAGATAGCAGCGTCGTGTTGTTTTAAGAATAAAAAATATTTGACGCACATGAAGAGAAATCTCACAGAGGAAGACATAGACATGGCCAACATGCACATGAGAAAATGCTCCGCATCACTGGCCATCAGGGAAATACAAATCAAAACCACAGTGAGATACCACCTCACACCAGTGAGAATGGGGAAAATTAACAAGGCAGGAAACAACAAATGTTGGAGAGGATGCGGAGAAAAGGGAACCCTCCTGCACTGTTGGTGGGAATGTGAACTGGTGCAGCCAGTCTGGAAAACTGTGTGGAGGTTCCTCAAAGAGTTAAAAATAGATCTGCCCTACGACCCAGCAATTGCACTGCTGGGGATTTACCCCAAGGATACAGATGCAATGGAACGCCGGGACACCTGCACCCCGATGTTTCTAGCAGCAATGTCCACAATAGCCAAACTGTGGAAGGAGCCTCGGTGTCCATCGAAAGATGAATGGATAAAGAAGATGTGGTTTATGTATACAATGGAATATTACTCAGCCATTAGAAATGACAAACACCCACCATTTGCTTTGACGTGGATAGAACTGGAGGGTATTATGCGGAGTGAAATAACTGAATCAGAGAAGGACAAATATTATATGGTCTCATTCATTTGGGGAATATAAATAATAGTGAAAGGGAATAGAGGGGAAGGAGAAGAAATGGGTAGGAAATATCAGAAAGGGAGACAGAACATGAAGACTCCTAACTCTGGAAAACGAACTAGGGTGGTGGAAAGGGAGGAGGGCGGGGGGTGGGGGTGACTAGTTGGCGGGCACTGAGGTGGGGCATTTGACTGGATGAGCACTGGGTGTTATCTGTATGTTGGCAAATTGAACACCAATAGAAAATAAATTTATAAAAAAAATATTTGACGCCCACAAAACTGTTGGTCAAGCTCTAGCTTTCCTAAATTATCACAGAGTTCAAATTCACACGCAACTTTGGAAAACACTTGAAGACCCACATTCGAGATCCAGAGCCTCAAGGCTGGAGGGTGGCCTGTTCATTGGGGAACCCATGGGGCCCAGCGTGGGCTGGTAGCTCCGATGCTTGGCAAATGCATGCATGCATGCGTGAATGAATGACGGGGACCCAGAGAGTGCTCTCTCCTCTCAAGTCCAGGAGGCATCCAGACCCCATCCAGACTCCATCCCCAACCCACTACCTCCACTGGCCCCCCAGCAGCACAGACCATGCAACTTGCCCGTTCTGGATTCGAGCCAGCCGGCTTCGAGTGCAGGCTCACTCTGTAAGCTCCAGGTCACTGCCTCTCAACAAAGGATGGCTGTGCTCCCCGGGGGGCATTTGGCCATGTCTGGAGACACTTCTGATTGTCACAACCAGAGGGGGCACGCTCCAGGCACCTGGGGGCCGAGGCTCGGCACGCTGCTCAATATCTTCCAGCGTACGGGACGGTCCCACAGCAAAGAATCATCCGGCCCCAACTATCAACAGCGCCAGACGAGAAGCCCGGCTTGGAGCCTAGTGCTTCTCCTAAATGGACAAAGCAGGGGCATGCCACACCGCGCTGTGCCAGGGCTGGCGGGAGGCGGGGTGGGCACGGTTAGACACAGGGCCCTTGGGGCCAGGCTGCCCTCACCAGCTGTGTGACTGTGGGCACGTCACTTCTCGTCTCTGCCCAGCACAGTGGGGATGCATTTTTCCGGGGGTGATGGTGGTCCGGGCTCACATACTTGTTCAGAGGCTCAGGAGAGCTAACAGCCACAGGGCCGCAATGTGTCTGACAACTGACTCTTATGCACCGAGGCCGATGCTGTTGTCATGACAGGAAGACCCGGTGGCCCGATGCCCCGCGGGAATCCATCCGAAGACATCTCTCCAACAGGACCCTCTGCCTCCCACCCGGTGCCAGGGGAGGTCCCAGAGGCTGCAGGTGAACGTGCCAGCTGCAGCTGCAGGGAGGTGTGGACCTGACACCGGCCCCAGTCCCCCACTCCCCCAGTGAGCAGAATCCCACCAACAGCAAGCCCCGAGCTCAGACGCAAGAGCAACCTGCACGGAGGACCATGGTCATGGAAACAGCAATCATCACTTTCTAAACACAACCGGAGCTAGGCATAGCTATGCAGGGCTTTGTCAACGACAGCACAGAATCTTGTGTGACGAGTCCTGACAACAGCAGTCGTCAGCCGAGGGAGGGGATATCCTGGAGGGAGGCATTGGTCGCCGGGAAGGGCCACAGCTGGCCGCCCACTCACCCACACACCCTGGCTTGGCTCTGCCATCACAGCAATGGGGGTGAGCTTGGGCCGCTGCCCCAGCATGACCCTTCTAGAAAGTTCCATAGTCTCCTGTTTGCTCCCTCCTCCAGCATACATGGCATGGGATCGCCAGCTCTGCCGCTAACTTACGTGGGACATAGGACATGCGGGGCGGCCTCTTTGAGCTCTAGCTGTGAACTAGGGTGGATCAGATGCACCCTCATCCCTGCCCTCCCCTCAGGTCAAACCAGGCCGGGGAGCATGGAAGGACTGAAGGACTCTGGCTCTGAGTCCAATTGAGATTGACTTTGGAAAGCATGGAGCCTACCAAGGTCTAAAGGGTGAAAATGCTAACAAGTGATGAGCGGGCCCTGTCATTTCTCTGAAAGCCCCAAACTGAGTGGAAGAGCCTGGAGCAGCAGCTGGCAGAGAGAAAGCACGTTCACGTGCACCCCACACACCAGAACTCTGGGCTAAACCAGGAACACCCACCCTTGACGGCAACACGAGGGTGTGAGGTGCACGGCACAATGGTGGCCAGGGTTGGGTGTTGGTTCCTGGGGGCTGTGGCATCCCACAGGGCAGGTGCACCCCACAAGGTAGCCACAGCACCCCACCAAGCAGATGCACCTTATAAGGCTGCCACACCACCCATAAGTCAGGTGTGCCCCACAAGACAGTCATAGCACCCTACAATTTAGGCACAGCACCCAACAGGGCAACTGTACCCCACAGGGTGTCTGCACCTTATAAGGCAGGTACACCCACAGGGCAGTCACTGTACCTCACAAGGCATATAACCTCACAGCCTCACTGTCCCATTTCCCAGGCAGGATGGGCCAGCGAGGGGGTTGGGGCTCCAGGGCAGCCTCTCTCAGGGAAGCAGACACAGAAGCTCCAAAGGCCACAGACCAGACATCTCAGAGGGCAGGGCTGTGGACCCTCCCATGGCACCCCTTTCTGCTGAGGGCTCAGGGGCGGGGCCTCCAGACCCCAGCTCCAGTGTGACCCCAGGTTCTAGATGTGAAGCCCTCTATGCCCTGGTAGGGCTGAGCCCTAGTCTGGGAAGCCCAGACCCAGGGTGGGTGGGTAAATGCGTGGCCAAACCCAAGACCAGGCCCCAAAGAGCTGTCCCCACTCCGTGTCCCTGAGGTCCCACCTCCTGCCTGCCCTGCCCCAGACACTGCCCACACCCACTTCTGAACGCACCCCCAGTCTCAAGGCCCAGAGAAGGGACATGGCCTGGCGCCAGGCCCCTGGGAGGGCTGCCCTGGGACAGCTAGACCAGCAAGCAGCTCAGAGCTGGGGGGCCTGGGAAGGGGAGCCTGGGGAAGGGGAGCCTGGGGAAGGGGAGCCTGGAGGAGAAGCAGAAAGCTCCCCGCCCTTGGGGAGAAGACCCTCCTCCAGGCAGGGCGGGAGCTGTCGTGCAAGCCTCAGGAGGAGGGCTGTGCTCCTTCAGGGATGGAATGGCGTGGGCGTCCAGCATGAAGCACTTATCTTGTTACTAAGCAACAGGCTCCGGCCAGAGAATGGAAGAGAGACACTGAGGGATGCTCAGGGCCAGAACTCCAGCTGATCTCCTACCCCAACAGCTGCCCCTTCCCCCCTAACTGCAGAGGCCGCAGCCCCCACCTGCCCCCAAGCCCTGAAACCTGCAGGCAAATTACAGGGCCGCCCAGGTTCTTCCCGGCAGCCCTCGCTCAACAGCCATCTACGGCTCTCACTGCCTCCAGGACACACCTGGGACTCCTTGGCCTGGCTTTGCCATAGGGTTTCCATCTCTCCCGCTTCCTTCTGTTCCTGTCCACACACAGCAGCACCCGTCCCCACCCCACCCCTGCCCCCATCCACTGACAAGGGCCTGCAAGTTGCCCACATCACACTCTATGTTCTCCGGTCTGTGGTCCCTTCCCTTTAATGCCCACCTACGTGACCCTGGGTTTCAAGTTTCAGAACAAAGGCCACCTCCTCCATGTGGTCACAGCGTCCCCTGCTTCGAGGTCTGAAGGCCCTGGCTCCAGCCCCAGGCACACCACCCCCTGGCTGGACGCTGGGCACCCGGCACACGTCCGTCTCCCCACCAGACTCAGGGCCTCTGCAGAAGATGAGAGGCTTCCTGGCCGGCGGGGCTGCTCCGGGCACAGCAGGAATTAGGAAGACTCTGCAGACATCCACACAGGAACCAAGAGCTGGTGACGAATGTCTACACTTTCTAGGCAAAGCCCATGTTCTAAGCTGGACAGTCTCACTGTGGGCCGGAAAAGGGGTCAGACCACCTGCAGGCTAGGGGAGCATTTGTTCTCTGGAAATGTACATTTGGTATTGAAATTTTTTTAATATTTTATTTATTTGAGAGAGACAGAGCACCAGCAGGATTGGGGTCAGAAGGAGAAGGAGAAGCAGGCTCCTTCACTCCCATGCCTTCTGGTCTGTGTCTGTGTGGTCAGGCCCCTCCCTGGGCCCCGCAGAAGGCAGCTTCCACCCCACCCCCACCCGCCGCGCCGCTCAGTGCCCACTTACTCCAGAGGCCCTGGGACAGGTACACACTGCTGCCCGCTGTCTTGGGCAGGGAGCACTTCTGGCACATGCATTCCTTCCCGTTGAAAGTCACTCGGTCCCCCGGTGGGAAAGGCAATCTGAAACAAGAGAGTGAGGGTGTGACCAGCCAGGATGGCCTCTGGCTCTTCTCCTGGGTCCCCCCCCATACCACCGCCTCCCCGGGGACCTCCTGGAGACAGGCGTCGCAGGCGGAGGACGCAGCACCCCCCCATCTGGGCACCGTGGTGCTCCCGCCATGTGAGCCCTCTGCACAGACAGGTGCATGCAGCGCCCTGGCCGGGAGCAGCGAGGGCCGGCGCCGTGCTTGGCACGCGGCAACCAACCAGGCAGCCTCAACCGCCCCCTCCTCCATTCAACCCTGCCTCCTCTGACCACCCAGGATGCTTTGTCCATATCAGTTCAACAGCAATGGCAATGGCTAGCATTTATTGAGCAACTACTATGTGCCAGGAGCCAAATATTACGATAGATACCTCGCAGGCATGCTTCATTTAATAACTGTAGGGCATTTGTCCAAGCTGGAATTTGCTTCATCTTTTTTCTCTATAGGTGAGAACACTGAAGTTCAGAGAGGAGAGTTAACTTTTCCAAGGACACACAGCCGAGGCATGTCAGAACCAGAGTCAAACCAAGACCTGTCAGGCTCCGAATCCCCATGATTTACCTACCTAGTCTAGTCTTTAAGATGTTAGCAGCTTGTATAAGCACCAGACACCAAGGTACTGTACATTTTATCCCACTTTTATTTAAATTTAGCATTTTGCTCAGTATGGATTTTTCTACACTGATTTTTAATTTTTTAAATATCACATTATCATTTACCTCGATTGTTGATTTTTTAAAAAAATTATTATTATTTATTTTATTATTTTTATTTTTATTTTTATTTATTTATTTATTTATTTATTTTTGTGCTCACTGAAATTCTGCATCCAGAACAAGTCCCAGACCTGGTGCAAGGTAGGTCACAGCTCTGGGTTGCAGAGAGCCAGCTAGCCTTCCTGCACCAAGGACCTCCTCTCTGGTGCCTGGGAGATGGGTAAACTGGCTGCTCTCTGGCAAGTGAGGGACAGGCCACCTGCCATCAGGGGCTGGAAGACAGACTTCAGTGTCCTGCCCACGTCCATCCTGGCCACCTGCTGCCGCTGAGCAATAGGCAGCTCTGGGCCACTTTACTTCCCCAGCTCCGGCTGACCAAACAACCTGTGCTCTGGAGCAGTAGCCTGCAGAATTCTCTCGACCAGGATATGCCATTGCCACTGCTTAAAGCCTTGAGCACCCGCTGCATACAAACCCTGGCCTTGCCCCTGAGGGCGGAGCAGTGAACCCAGGAGCTCCTGACTTCAGAAGCCCAGAGTTCAATGCTCTCCTAATGGTTCCCCCAAAGGGCTTCTGGAAGGTCCAGAATTATTTGTGGAGCTGAATGTGTCTGGAGGGGGCTGCAGGGGTGGGGAGGACATCCACACAGGCCCCAGGAGGCAGAGTCTCTCCTCTACCTTCTCAGGGCTGGGAAATCCATGGCATATCCCTTGTGCTCAAGAGGTACACCTTGCTAGAGTGAATGAGTGAGAGAACAAGAGAATTACTGAAGGCCCCCAGGGGGCCTAATTCAGCACCCCCTCCTGCCTGGCCTCCTCACGCAGCCTGCCTGGTCACACCAGCCCCAGGCCAGCCCCAGCCCTGCAGCATGTCTCCCCCCAACGGAGACTGCCATAGCCCCCATCATGTACGGTTGGCATTCATTCAGTTGCTGTGTTCTGGGGCCCCCAGTGGGCCAGTCCCTTCTCTTGGAGACCAAGGACAAATAGAGACTGAGCTGGCCATCTCTGCAGGCTTGTGAGACAGCCCTGCAGACCTAGCTTCTTGGGGCAGGGAGCCTTTGCAACTGATGCCTTGTGCTGTGTCACCTGTGGCCAGTGCTGTGCTCTGCTGCTCTCTTCCTAGAGTCCTACAGCTGGCCTGGTAATGTGGGGTGCTGGGATAGAGTGGGGTTCCTCACCTTGGCTGCATGTGCACTGACAGGGTCTCTGGCTACGTGACCCTGAGCAAGTTACTTACCCCATCTGAGTCCTGTTTCTCACCTGTAAAGTGGGACTGATAATACCTGTGTCATGGGATTGTTATTCATCACTCCATCACTCCATCCATGCATGTATCCATCCACTTATTCATCAATCCCTCTCTCCGTCCATGCATCATCCATCTATTCATCCTTCCATCTATCCATCCATGTATTCATCCATCCATCAGACAAACTGCATGGAAAGCTCTGGCATACTGCCTGGGACCAGGAGGGGCTGAATAAATGGTAGTTATTATTTTCTTAGTTCAACTTTATTGAAATATACTTTGACAAATGCATGCGTTCATGTTTTCATCATCGTAGTCACGATATGTGACATTCTGTCCACTGCAGACAGTCCCCTGTGACTGTCTATAATCACCTCCCACTAGCACCCCTGGCCCCAGGCAACCATGATGGGCACTCTGTCACTGTGGATTGGATATGTCTTTTCTGGAACTGCATACACATGGAACCATACAGTAGGTAGTCTTTGATGGCTGGTTCAGCGTCCTGTCCCTTGCACTGCATACATCATTAGTTTGGCCCTTGTTACTCTGGCACAGTGGTGCTCCACTGGACAGATGAGGGACAACAAGATTCCACTCACTGTTGAAGGATATTTGGGTTCTTTCCAGTTGGGAGCTGTTACAAATAAAACTGCTAAGAGCGTTTGGTGACAACTCTTTAGGTAGACACGTGCTTCCACTTCTCTTGGGTACATACCTAGGAATAGAACCACTGGGCCATATGCTAACTCTGTGTTCAACATTACAACAAACTGACACACTGATTTCCAGACAGTTTGTACCACTTTGCATTCCCCCGGCCATACATGATCATTGCTTCAGCTTCATATCCTCACCAACACTTGTCATTACCCACCATTTTAGCTTTAGCCAGTCCAGTGGATGGGTGATGGTATTTTATCCTTTTAATCAGCCCTGTTGCATGTGCTTATGGTCATTCATGTGCATTCTTTTGTGGAGTGTCTGTTAAACTCTTCTGCCTATTTTTTTTAATTTTTTTTATTTATTTATGATAGTCATACACACAGAGAGAGAGAGGCAGAGACATAGGCAGAGGGAGAAGCAGGCTCCATGCACCGGGAGCCTGACGTGGGATTCGATCCCGGGTCTCCAGGATCGCGCCCTGGGCCAAAGGCAGGCGCCAAACCGCTGCGCCACCCAGGGATCCCCTTCTGCCTATTTTTTAATAGGGTTCTTATTTATCTTCTCATGGCTGACTTGTAGAATTTCTTTATATATTTTGGATGCCAGTCCCTCAGCAGATATACCTTATCTACCAGCTGATGGCTTGCCTCTATACTTTGCTGATGTCTTTTGACATCATTTTTCTTCCTCTAGCTTTACTGTCACGTAAGTGTGCTGGCAACAAGTTCTCTTAGCTTTTGTGTGTCTACAGAAGTTTTTATTTTGCTTTTATTTATTTTTTTGCAGGGGGAACACACTTATTCATGTTATTTTAATCGCATACATCTTGGAGATACTGAGGGTTCAGTTCCAGAACACTGCAATAAAGCAAATATTGCAAAAAAGCAAGTCAAATGGATCTTCTGGTTTCCTCATGCATAGAAAAGTAATGTTTACACTGTAGTCTATTAAACATGCAATAGCAATAAAGCACATACCTTAATAAAAAATACCATCATCTGAACTTTCAGCAAGTTGTAATCTGACCACAGATCAGACAATATAATCATAAAAAATTTGACATATTGCAAGAGTTACCAAAAGGTGACACAGAGACCCAAAGTGAGAAAATGCTGTCAGAAAATGGCACCAACACACTTGCTCGATGCAGGGTTACCATGAACCTTCAATCTGTAAAAAGTACAGTATATGCAAAGCACAATAAAGTGAAGTGCAACAAAATGAGGTTTGCCTGTATATAATATTCATGCCATTCAATGCCTATAATTCATGAGTTTCTAGTGTATTCAGACTTGTGCACATGTCCCCAAAATCAATTTGAGTACTTTTTCATCAACCCAAAAAAGAAACCCTTTACTCTTTAGAGGTCTTGCCTTCATTTTTTGAAAGCCCTTTTCTTTTCTTCTTTCTTTTCTCTCTTTCTCTCTCTCTTTTTTCTTTCTTTTCTTTCTTTCTTTCTTTCTTTCTTTCTTTCTTTCTTTCTTTCTTTCTTCCTCTTTCTTTCTTTTGGCTTAGTATGGAATTGTTTGATTTTTTCCTGTAACTCTTTAAAGGTGCCATTCCACTATCTTCTGTGGTGCATAGTTTCAGGTGAGAGGTCTGCAATAATTCTTCCATTCCACTGTATATGATGTGGGTCTTTTCTCTTGCTTTTTGTTAGATTTCTTATTACTACTTTTCAGAAATTTTATTATGATGGACTTAGTAGGATTCTATTGTGTTTTTTCTGCTTGAGGTTCATCAAGATGCCTGGATCCGTGGGTTTATAGTTTCATCAAGTTTGGAAAATTTTCAGCCATTATTTCTTCAATTATTTGGCCTTCCCTACCTTGGGCGTCTCCCCTTCCCAACCCAGATAGAAAGATCCTTGATCCACAGATAGCTGAATCTGTCTTCATGTTTTCTAGTCTTTTCTGTCTTTTCACTTTAGCCTGAATAGTTTCTGTTGTTATGTCTTCAGGTTCACCAAGCCTTTCATCTGCAATACCTAATCTACTGCTAATTTCTTTGAAGGGATTTTTCATCTCAGAAACTGTAATTTCCAGAAAGTTCACTTGACTTCTTTTTATACCTTCTGTGAGACTTTTCTATGTACATTGACATTTTCCTTTAAACACCTAAGCACATTTTCAGTACTGTTTCAAAGCCACCATCTGTTGGTTTCACAACACACTCATTTCTGGGTCTATTGCTATTGACTGGCTGGTCTTCTGGCTTTGGGTCTCCTTTCCCAGCTTTTATGACTAGTAATATTTGACTGGATGCTGGGCACTGCCTATGCTATGTTGCTGAGAGCTGGATTTCCCGTCTTCCTGTGAAGAGTGCAGGACTTGTTCTGGCAGGCAGTTAGTTCATTTGCAGATCAGTGCCACCTTTTGGGATTTATTCTTGTACTTCCTTTCAGCAGGTGTTCATAGCCTTTGCTCTAGGGCCATTTTAGTCCCATGAATAAGGCACAACTTTCTTGGCATCCCCACTGCACACCTGGCTGTAAAACAACCTGGTCACAATTCGAATGTCTCCCAGCCCCGGGAACCATTCAGCTTGCACCAATCTGGCCATTCTTCATCCACTTTGTGTATGCGCCTCTGTGGCTTTGTGTTCAGTGAAAAGCTCAAAGCCTCCCCCCACGTTGCTCTCTGCACTTGCTCTGTGTGGCTTCCTCCCTTCTGGGGTACAGCCCCTGCTGCTCATATCACTGCCTCTTGACTCGGTCTTCTCTCCTTGTACTATGGCTCCAGGAACTGCCTCCAGACACAAAGCTGGGTGGTTGCAGGGTCCATGGCCTTGGTGGTCTTAGTCCCACACAGCCTGTGCCCCAGAGCCCCAAAACAACTGCTTCATATAGGGTGTTGCAGTTGTGTATGGAGGGTGGTACATGCAGCCCAGTTACTCCAGTGTGATGGAGCTGTCTACTATTATTTTAAAAACTGAAGATTATCCAGAGGTGATCCTTCACATTTATTATGATTACGTCCCCTTGTCTCTAAGCATCATGTATAGAAATCAAACATTTTATCATCCCCGTGAGAACTCTGAGACCCACACATGCTGCAACAACACAGTAACTGTCACTAGAAATATTCCTTCATTGTTCCCCCCTTTCTGCAGCCCCCCTGGCCAAGCATCCACTTATGTCCAGCACACATGCCATGTCTACAGACAACAGCTCTGGGAACAACACTCAAAAAATCCCCTTGAAACTGGGTGTGGTGAGACAGACAACAGAGCAGAAAATAAACTCTGGGTTCTTTTATTCTTTGTTTCTTAGAAATAGAACATCTCCCCGGGAGCAATGTGTCTGGGGTGTGGGGCAGCACTGAAGGAGGAGGATGCTCACATGGGGAAGCAGCTTCTGGCCTCCCTCCTAAGTCTCCAAAGGAGCTCACATCAAGCAGCTCCAGGGCCATGCTGCTAGGGCAGTGTTGTGGGGCCCATGAGAGCCCCTGCACTGGGCACAGAGGCTGCCCTGAGGAGGGAGAGAGCTGGGAGAAGGAAAGGTCTTGGGGAGGAGGGTGGCACCCTTATGCTTCAGTGTCTCTAGGTGCTGAACCTGGAGAGTCTGAGCTAATGCATCTGCAAGCCACTGGTGTCAGCCCTGTGCCAGGCCCACAGAGGTGCTGAAAAAGCCTGGTTGAATGAATGAATGAGTGATGGAAGGAAGGAACTAGAACAACCTGTGAAGCCTCTCTCAGCTAGACCAAGGGGCTTGTACTTTCTCATGGGTGCCCTGGGGGCAGCAGGAAGGAGGGACAGACAGAGGGGAGGCAGGGACCCTAGTGGCAGGACCTCAAGCAGGCAACTTTGAGGCCTGCATGGGGGCAGTGGCTGGGTAGATTCTATAAGGGGAAGGACCCTTCCCCAAATCTGGAAGATACCCATGCTTGAGGGGGAAGGGAGGAGGAAGGGAGGGAAGGAAGGACAAGGGAGGGAAGGAGGGGAGAGGGAAAGAAAGAGGAGGGAGGAGGGAAAGAAGGAGATGGGAGGGAAGGAGGGAGGAAGAAAAAGGGAGGAGGGAGAAGGAGGGAGGGAGGAGGGAGGGAAGAGGAAAGAGAGGGGAGGAAGGAGGGAAATGGGAGGAGGGGGGAGGAGAGGGGAGGGAAGAAGGGGTGAGGGAGAGGGAGGAGGAAGGAAGGAGGAGGGAGGGAGAGGGGAAGGAGGAAGGAGGGAGCACCCGGAAGGAGCAGGAGCCCGGAGGCCTGACTCACCGACACACGGCACACACGAAGCAGTCGGGGTGGTAGGTCTTGCCCAGCGCCGACACCACCTCGCCCTCGATGAACTGGTCGCAGCTGAAGCAGCGGGTCCCGTACAGGCGCTGGTAGTCCAGCGTGCAGATGTACTCACCCTGCCGCACGAAGAAGCCACCCTCGGCCAGGTCACAGCCACATGCTGGGGGAGAGCCACGGCGTTAGTGGGGGGACCACCTGCCAGCCCCACCACACACCACTCCCACTTGACACAGGTCTCCGTGCTAATTTGGGGTGACTCGCTGAAACTGGGGGGCTAGATTCCCAGTACAGATGCCTATTTGGGCCACTCAGCCTGGTGCCCAGTGGACTTTCTTGTGGAAGCTTCCAGAAAAATGGCATGGACCCAGGAGAATCAGGCTCCACTAAGGGGCCGGCCCGTCTCCCTCCCTGGCCAGCCCCCTGGACCGCAGCAGAGGTGAAGTGCAGATGCCAACGAGCCCCTCTGCTTCTCTGACTGAGCTGCTCCCAGCAGGGAATGCAACAGCCCAGGAAGGTGCTCTGCTCTGGTGAGAAGATCTCGTGCAGCATGGGGAGCACAGAGGCGTCCTGTGCTTGCCCCCAGATCCCAGAGAAACTCCCTGACCCTCTCCCCACTCCTGCCCGTTTCCATGTCCCGATGTCTGTCTCCCACGGTGGGCAAGGCCAGGAGGGAGAGAGACCATGAACACTTGAACACAAACCCTTTTGTCCCCTGTCCGCTAACACACAGCTGGCCCCAGGAAGCTGCACTGCAAAGCCCCAAGGACGGGGTGGGGACAAGCTGCCAGGTGGGGATAGGGGTGACTTTCCTCAAGACAGTCTGCCAGTCTGTGTCCAGGACACCCATGCCTTCACTTACACACTCCCCCTGCAGCCCAGGGGCACGTGGGAACCAGGCATGGTTCCAGAGGGAGCCACCTATGCCTGCCCCGGCTGGCCCAGCCCTCCCTGCCGGAGGCCAGGAGGACACCTCTGCAGCCCCTGCCAGCCCCTGCCAGCCAGGTCAGTCCTGGGTCCTTGTGGGTCACAGCCCCCAAACAGAGTCTTGAAAACTATATCCTTCCTCCTTTCCTCCCTCCCTCCCTTCCATCCATCCTTCCCTCCTTCCTTCCTTCCTTCCCTCTTTCCTTTATTCTTCTTTCATCATCATGTTTTTGAATCCACACTTAAAATTTTTCATCAAAACATTAATTGATAGCAAAGGATGTTGTTTCTGGCAAATTCTAAGTATTGGCAATTTGAAATTTAACTCACGTCATCCTTTTGAGCACATCCAGAAGTAGATGCCAAAGCAAGACCACCAACATATATGCAAAACCCACAGCCAACTCTCAGTAAAAGCAGAAACTTCACCTTGTCCCTTTTCTGCCTAGAAAGCCTCTGTCCCCTCTACTTCCCCAAAGCACGGCATGTGAACATAACACACCCCGATGTTCATAGCAGCGACGTCCACAGTAGGCAAGCTATGGAAAGAGCCCAGATGTCCATCGACAGATGAATGGATAAAGAAGATGTGGTGTATATACACAATGGAATATTACTCAGCCTCAGAAAGGATGAAATCTTACCACTTGCAATGACGTGAATGGAACTAGTGGGTATTATGCTGAGCAAAATAAGACAATCAGAAAAAGACTATTACCGTATGATCTCACTCATGTGAAACTTAAGAAACAAAACACATGAACATAGGGGAAGGGAGAGAAAAATAAAACAAGATGAAATCAGAGAGGGAGACCAGCCATAAGAGACGCTTAATCACAGGAAACACACTGAGGGTCCCTGGAGGGGAGGGCGGTGGGGGGACAGGGTCACTGGGTGATGGGCATGAAGGAGGGCACATGATGTCATGAGCACTGGGTGTGTATGGAACTGATGAATCACTAAACTCTATCTCTGAAATCAATAAAAAATATAATGTATTTTAAGACAGGAAGCTCCACATGCTCTCTGCAACACCAACAAAGAAATCCAGAGTCAATGTGGACATTGATTTATTAGGAATTTCTTGTGGTCACAAGGCTCTAAATATTTAATCAGTTATTCTGGATTGAGTTATTTTTTTACAAAGATTAGAAGAAAGCTATCAAAATAACACATACAATATAAATTTTGGTAAATCGTTTTAGACACACAAAGGAAAACCTTTCTGCATCAGCTCTTGATGCCACAGACGATGGTGAGCGAGGGGAGCCCCCGGCGTCTGGTCAAGGGAGCCCCGACTGCGGAACCACACCTTTGCCTGGTGCCCTGGGAGGGGAGGGGAGCCTGACAGCCTCCCGCTTGCCCCCTGCCCCAAGGTGCCTCCTCTGGCAGGTCGAGTTTCAGAAGAGCATCTGCAGAAATTTGAGGGAGTGTAAACCTTTTATGACATCCTGCAGCACGGTGCACGCCCAGCAGGCGGACCCCGCCTCGGGAAGAACAGCCTACCCAGGGCCTTGCTAGGAGTCTTTCTGTAAATGCCACCTGTGACAGACAAGACAGCCGTGGAGCGACAGGATGGCCCAAGGATATCCGCACGCTGGCATCAGGCTGTCCTAATTTTTACACGGCTATGCTGGCGTAACCTTGATATGGGAGGAAAATGTGCCCACGGATGTAGTGCCCCACTGAGACCGCGTGAGTGTCCCTCCTGGTCACCCCTGCTGCTGGGCGGCCTGTGGCGGCCCAATGAGCATGAGGTCACACTCAAACCCCACACCTCCACCTGCTAAAACGAAAAACTCCAAATTCATTAGGAATGTAAACAGGCCCGATCAGGACAACCATGACCTCCTATCTTGCCTGTCAAATTAGCCAACTCCGACCCCGGGGAGCAGAGCGGCCGTGGGGGACCCAGAGGGTCAGTCCTGCGCCTTCACAGGGTCATTTGTGAGAAACCGTCAGGAGCATGGCAGGGGTGGGCAGATGCCTTCGGAAAGACCACCTGGTGCTGAGTCTAAGAACATGCAAACCGCTCCTACCCTTTGACCCATCGATCTCTTTCCTGGGGCCTATCCCCAGGAAATGACCGGGAGCACCCACAGAAGCTCTGCTGGTTGGTGTCGCTGCGGCAGCAGTACACACGCTCTGCTGCATTCTCACTGGGCTTCAGAGTCGGCCAGCCTGGGCTGGGGTCCTCTGCTGCCCCCAAGTCTGTGACCTTGGGCATGCTGCTCAGCCTCTCTGAACCTCCGAGTCCTTGTCTGTACAATAGGGTCAACCACACTCATGTCTTGCATGGTTGTCTTAAGAAATCAGTGAGATGGGGCACAGGATGCCAGGTGGCTCAGTGCCAGGCTGCAGTGGACATAAGTGTCCAACAGCAGAGGGATGGCCAGGTTCCCCGTGGGCCTCACATGGGGGGTTGATGTTGGAGCATCCCATCGGTGATAGGAACATGGGAGCTCAGTCAGGACACGTATGGACACATGACTCCAAGTTAAAGAGACTCACAGAGGGCAGGATGGGGGGCTGTGTACTGAATCGAACCTGAACCTGACAGGGGTCCTGAGGGATATGTCCCACTCTCTAGTACACCTCTCTGTTCCGGGGGGTGGTGCAGAGAAAGGGGGTGGCTCACATCAGAATACGAGGAAACGGCTGGAGGCAGCTCCTGCGGCCTGATGGGAGTGAGCCGGCTCGGGGCTCATGGCCACTACCAGCAGGACTCACCCCGACCCTGGGCCCCGGGCCCCTCCATCTGTACCAATAGGCCCCTGTGGCCAGAGTCCTTCCTGCCACGTAGTCTGCAGATCCTGGAGCACCCTGTGTGGGCCAGGCTGTGCAGAAACGTGCCCTGGGCAGGATAGGCCCATCTATCTGAAGCTTGTCTTTGCTTCTGAAAGCCCTCGGTCAGTTTGTCATAAATGCTGGGAAGGGGGGCACCTGAGTGGCTCAGTGGGGAGCATCTGCCTTCAGCTCAGGTCATGGGTCCTGGGGTCAAGCCCCGCGTCAGGCTCCCTGCTCAGCGGGGAGCCTGCTTCTCCCTCTGCCTCTGCCCTTCACCTACTTGTACTCTCTCTCTCTCTCTTTCAAATAAATAAAATCTTTTTTTAAAAAAAATGCCCCTGGAATGCCCCAAAAGGAGAGAATGCAGGCATTTTGCACCATCCGCTTGCCACCCCCAGGTGTCCAGAGTGGCTCTCTGGTGGCTATTTATAGCCCCACATGGATGTGTCCTTGCCGTACACCGGCAAGCTGCAGGCAGAGCTGGCGGGCTTAGCTCCCCATCACAGTCCCTTCCCTCCCTGCCGGGCTCCTTCCACAATCGTGGTTCTGCTTCTCGGATCAGGAACGCCCACTTTCTGGGGGTCACGAGTGGAGTCGGGGCCGTGTGTCCAGGGCATGACGAGCAGGGTACAGACACCACACTCAAAACCACTGTTCTGAAAGCACAGGTCTGTGCTTGAAATTTGCCTCGAAAAACCAGTCTGGTCCTCTTGACCTTGTGTGTGCAGCAAATTTCAAGTTCTTTGTGAAAACGGCAACTTTAACCCTTTTTCTTGAGGACCTACTATGTGCTGGGTGTTTGACACATTTATATGCTATTTTGCAGCATGAGGATAGAGCCGCCAGATGGCAACTCGTAGCCCCCGAACCCTTCCCCACACATCCACACACAGCACTGCCACAGGGGTCCGTGGAAACAAAGGAGGACCAGAGCCCTCCTCCGTCTGTCAACCAGGGACGTTAGAGCCAAGGGCCTCACAGGACCCTCCCCGTTCTCATTCTGCTCTGGCCTGTCCCCGAGTCCACCAGGCACATACCCTGCTTCCCTGCCTTTGTACTAGCTGCTCCCTCTGGCTACAAGGCTCTTCACAAATATCCCTCAATTCTTCACTTGGGCTTTTCCTCCAGGAAGCCCACCCTGACGACCCAGCTGAAAATAGTGAGCGACTGACTCCCCCAGCCCCACCATGCCTGCCTTTCCTGAGCCCCTCTGCCTCCCTCCCTGCACAGGACCTAGCCCATGGTAAAACATATTTACCCTACCTGTGTTTGCTGTCTGTTCCCTGCGCTGGAACATGATCTCTACAAGGACAAGGATTTCCGTTTTGTTCATGAATGCATCTCAAGCACCCTCACTGCCTGCACATAGTAGGTGCCCAAGAAATCACTATTGCATGAACCCTGAGGTTAGGAAACGTGTCTAAGACCCACATGAGTGGGGTGGGGTGGGGCAGGCGTGGGATTTGCACCCAGGCCTCCAGGCATCAAAGCATCCAACAGGAGAGCATAATCACAAATCATTTCATGGGTTTTCCCAGGTAAACTGAGGCCCATCTAACAAGTGCCAAGGTGGCAAGAACCCATCACACTGGGGCCTCTGGTGAGAAGCTGTGCTAACAGACCCTGCTTTGGTTCACTTGGCAACAGGCCCACCCATGGGCAGACATGACTGGTCTCAGTGAGTCCCGCCGACCCTCCTCTCTGGTCCTCTGTGCCCGTGTGGTGGACATGTGACCCTGTCCTAGCCAACGAGTCATATTCAAAGTCTTTGGGGGCCCTCGGGGAAAGGGTTCTCCTGGTCAAAGGGAGAATCACGTGAGGACGGAGCCCTTTGTGCAGATCCCTCCCCAGTTCCCTCCCGGGTTGGATGTTACTCTGTGAGAATGTGATGTTTGGAGCTGCAGCAGCCACCCTGAGACCATAAGGAGACAGGCACTGCTGCCATGCGCAGGATGAGGGAGGCGGAGAGGGGACAGGGTGGGTAGGAAGTAGAAAAACAACCTGGGTCTTTAATGGGCTTGTTGAGCTGTTAAGGTAACCAACTCCAGGCTTCGTGTTAAGATGATAAATATCCCTGGTGTTTAAGACACTAGGAGTTGGGGAATCATTTGATTCATCCAAAAGTACCCTTGATGATTCATGGGCTTTGCATTTTCGTGAGAACCTGGATAAAAGACCAATCGGAGACTGTGGCATCTTCATGCTTAAACAAAACACAGCTTTCTCCAGCTAGCAGGCAGTGGCAGCTGCCCCACGTCGTTTCTCAGCAGGTGAAGCAGAGATGTCCCCGCCAAGGGCAGGGCCGCGCCGCATCTGCACGGCCGTGGGCACGGCCGCCTGGCACAGAGTGAGGCTCTATACCTGGCTGTGGGTGTGGGCAGTGGCCTTGGAATGGGGCCTGCGTGCCCACAGCTCCTGCCACCAAAGCAGCCACTGGTGTGGGGGCAGCCACCAGGCACACAGGGCGAGTGCCAGGAGCGGCCAGTGCCGCCCACGGCCCGCGGTCAGGCGGGGCTACGGCTATTCCCACATCTGCTCAGGAGCCTAAGCTCAGAGGACAAAGTGATCCAGCCCAGGGGACACTGCGGGAGGGGAGGGGCTCCTGGGGCAGCTCCTGCCACCCACCAAACCCTGTAGGTGAAACCAGGACTCCACTCTGGAAGCTCATGCCTTTTATTGCGAACCTAAGGTCTGTGCGTACAGACAATCCTTTTAGACACGGTGGCCGCCTCCCCTGTGTCTTTTAAAATAACCTTTTAAATAGAGCATTTTAATGGATTTTGCTTTTCAGACACAGCAAATTTGTCTTTTAGACAGTAGAGAAAATTAAACCGGACAAATCCCACAGTCGTCTGGGAAGCTCTGATGAAAAGAAGAGAAGCTTCAGGCAGGGCAGGGCTGCTGACCATGGTGGTGGGGGGGCACTGACCACAGTGGGGGCAGAGCACTGACGGGGGGCAGGGGGGTGCTGGGCACTGACCATGGTGGGGGTGGGGACACTGACCACGGGGGGGATCACTGACCACAGTGGGGGCGGGGCACTGATCATGGGGGTGGGGCACTGACCACGGTGGGGACGGGGCACTGAGCAGGGCAGAGGTGCGGCATCATGGGCAAAGGCAGTGTTTACACGATACTCCAGACTTGCCATTCTCACACCCTGACCTAGGTTGGTTCTACCCTTTCCCTGAAAACAGGCACTTCCAGGCTGTGCCCTCCAAGGGGCAGGGGCAGGGTCACCCTCACACTGAGGGTCCCAGGGCACTCCCAGCCCTGTCAGGGATGGTGCCACCCAGAGGTCCCTGGGAGGTGGCTCTGGAGACACTCAGGTACTCAGGTCTTCCCTGGGTCCCTGACCCCCTCAGGGCCCCCAGGTCTCCCATTATACTCTGCATGGCCGGGAGCTTCGAGGCCATTTCTGGGGTGCCCTCTGTCATGGCAGCGGAGTCCAGCCAGTGGCCGCAAATTTTCTTTCTGAACAACAGGACTCAACATGCAGTTTTCACAGAAGGCCCGAGGCTGTGGCGTGGCCACAGGCAGAGCTCCCCTGAGATGGGGGCTCCCCTGTGGCCACGCACCTCCATGCCCAAGAGGTGCCCCTAGAAATCTCCAAGGGCCTCAACCAGGCCCCACCAGGCCTGGAATCCAGCCCGGGACAGGCCCCCACACTTCCAGGCCCCCTCTGCCCCCCACAACTAACAGTTGCACGTCCCTCTCAGGGCTGCCGGTGTGGGGAGGAAGCTGCACCCCAGCCTCGTCCCCCTCCCCCCTCCTGCTCGGCAGCACCCCCCCCCCGCCCCCGGTGGAACCGCAGCTGTCCACCCACACTGCATACACCTGCCCCTGCCACCTGCACGGGCTGGGCAGCCCCTCCGGCCAGCAGATTCCTCTCCTGACCCCAACTTAGAGCTCAAACACCACCTCGCCTGCGAAACCCACTCTAGAAGCTTCCACATCCGTCCTCTCCCTGCCCCCCAAAAACTTGGTTTTTACGACCAAAAGCAATCTTTTCAAATCATGCTGCATGCCGTAGCCAGTACACTTCTCTCTCCTGTGACAGCAGGGACAGAGAACAGAGACCGGGGACGCTCACCTTTGCAGACGAAGCACTTGATGTGGAAGTACTTGTTCTGGACCCTCAGCACCTCCCCCTTGCACACATTCCCGCAGGTGTTGCACAGGATGGCGGTGCTGGGCGGCTTCTCCAGGGGGCTGTGAGCGGCCTGGGGTTCCGACACTGTCGGGGAACAAGGAGCCGTGTTAGAGGTGTGACACTCCAGGCACAGGGCATTAAACTGGCGGCCGCTGAGGCCTTGGGGGCCCCACCCCAGCTCCAGCCCCACGGCGGCGTGTCAGGGGACAGATGCTGACTGGCGGACCGTCCTTCCTGGGGGACAGGAAGGAACTGGATAATGTGAGGCCATCGGTCAACCCCAGGGAGGGGCTCCTCTGCATGGCAGTCCTTCCCCACAGGCCACCTGTCCCCCTCCAGGTGGGCTCGCCTGCCGTGGTGGGGAGATCATGACCCCCTCCCAAAGGGCAGCCTATTCTCCTGCTGCCTTGGCCCGGCAGTACGTCGGCCGGCAGGGCCCCAAAAGCACAGGCCCCCACTGGGAGCCCGGCAGCCCTTCTGCCGCCAGGAGACCGGAGTCCTCTCTTCTGAGAATACGATCACCACGGTCCCCCTTTGAGCTTGCTTCCAATTCCCTCCGCGTCGTGGGGACATGGACCTGAATATCGCTGCTGCCCTCTGTAAAGCCAGCCTCAGCCTGGGGTGTTTATGGAGCTGCAGGAAACCCACTGAGGGTTGAAGGGCCCGGCCGTGGGGTTCTTGGGGTCTGGGTGGGGCCATATGCCCCTCATCCTCGTCCTCCGAAAGCACCTGCGGAGACCAGCGTGTAGGACGCTGGGTCCACAGCGGGTCGGCCCCTGGAGGAGCTCTAGCCCGGCGGTGGAGACAGCCCAAGTGGCAGAGCTGGGGCTGCAGGAGGCCCCAGGGCTGGGGACCAGCAGAGTCGCTTGAAGCACACGGAGGAGCTGGCTGCCTGGTGGAGTTGGAGGCAGGTGTGGAGGCCTGCTGGGCAGAGAGTGTGGCCCATGCAGGGACCTGAGCAGGCTGGATCCTTCCCACTCAGGACCGACCCAAGAAAGACAAACCCGGACACCCCCTTCCAGCTTCCCGAGGCCCCCAGGCCCCATCAGGCTCCCCCGAGCCCCCCCTCCCTTGGGAAGCTCCTCCACTGCTCCTCCTGCCTCTGGGTCTTTGCCAAGTGAGGGTGGCTGACCCCCGGGCTACAGCCAGCACTGAACAGACCACTTTGGGATAGGGGGCCTGTCTTTGCTTATTTCCACATCTTCTAATGCCACTCTCCTTTTTTGGTCTGAGGTCCTGCTTGAGGCTGAGACAAGGACGGGGTGCAGGTAGTATATTTGGGGCCAGCAGATGGCAGGAAGGCATGAGGGGACCTGTGGGCACCTGAGGCAGGAAGTCTGCAGGTGCAGGTGAGCCGCCCACCTGGTGGCAGCTGAAACCCAGGTGGGCCCTGGGGGTGTGGGGTGGTCAAGGAAGCACTTGCCATGCTTTATTGGAGGGCTAACTTATTTGTACACACACACCCATTTACCCAATCATCTAAACACTAGCTTTGAGCAAGTGCCAGACCTCAAGTCCTCCTCATTCCTGTCGTAAACATCTGGAGGTCACTCCAGACAGAGAAGGACATTTCTCCACCCACTGTCCCACCTGTCCCCCATCCGCAGAACCCCAAGGCCCAGCAGCCCCCAATGTGCCAAAGCAGGGTTGCTCTGTGCTACGGTCCCTGTCGAGGTGCGGAGTCTGAGAGTGGGCTGCGCAGGGGCACTGGGCCATGCTGGGGACAGCAAGTTGTCTGAGGTGGAGGCTATGAACACCCCAAGGGTAGCAGGGTGCCAGCTGTCTGGGGAACGAGAAGCGGGTGCAGGAAAGGAAGTGAGCAGCATGAAAAGGATTTCAGCACCGCCCCAGGCACCCCAGACCCAGAGTGGATGCCTGCCTCACTTTCCAGAGGAGTCAGGACCAAACAGCTGACTGGGGGGTGCAGAGCCAGGTGGGAGCTCCGTCTGCCCTCCTGCAGCCACGGTGACATTCCCTGCTCTAGTTTAAATGCCAACAGTCCCTTTGCCCTTCACTTCTTTTTCCTGCAGAAAAAGTGCAGAAATTGCCTTTTTACTTAAAAAAATTGGTGGAAGAAGGCGGGAAGCAGGATTCCCTGGGCTTGAATTTAAGACTCCCCTTGAGGAATGAACCACTGGGATCCAGGTTTGAAACCTGTGAACAGCCCGCGGCCTGGCGGGCTCCCGAGTCACCCTGCCCACCTCCAAGGCTCAGTGGAGATTGGGGAGTGGGTGGCTGGGTGGGGGACTCAGATCCCGGACATTGTTATCTTCTCATCTGTCAGGCAGACAAAGAACAATAGCCTATCATCTGTCCACGAGCAGACAAGCAAGTTTTTATACAACTGGAATCTGGCTCAAGTCCAATGTGAGGGAAGGTCAAACCGGCCACCCTGGGGGTCACTGTGAGCCCTGGGGGAGAACAGGCCGCAGGGGCAGACGGCCTGGGTGCACCCCAGCTTCACCTGCGGGTGCTGTGATCTGGAACACCCAGCCTTCCATGCATCTGTCCATCCACCCGTCCGCCCTCTGCTCCTATCACCTGCCCCGGGGAAGGGAGCCTCTGCTAGGATGACGGGCTCAATACACAATAGCTATTGTCATTTGCAAAAACACACAGCCTGACACCACCAGTTTCCTGGCTACTGGAGATCTATCTGGTCTGGGGCGGGGGAGAGCTGCTTTAAGACACGTTTCCTGGGTGGGGGGGAACCCAACTCGGCCCACCTGGAGCATCCTCTAAAGCCTCCTGGGGCGACTGGGCTGGAGAGCGGTGGTGCTGCCCTCTGGTGGTGGGAAGCAGGCGCCGCGCCGTGGGGACGGGCGTGGGCCTTTGCGCAGGTGCCAGCCCGGCCCTGGGACCCCATCTGTGACTCCTGCGTATTTGTGGCGGGAGCCATCCAGCCTCCTGAGGCGGACTCATTCCTCCTCAGGGGGCTGTTGTCCCTGCTGCGGAGGGAGCTGAGGCCCACAGAGAAACCCGGGCTTTCTGCGGGCGGCCCCAGGACAGGATGGGCAGGGCTGGCCAGGCCTGGTGTCTGGTGTCTGGATCTTATGCAAAAAAAAAAAAAAAAAAAAAGAATCATCTAGAAACCAGATATCAAGCCACAAAAAGACACTGAGGACACCCAGATACATATTACCGAGGGAAACAAGCCAGTCCGAAGAGGCTGCGTGCTTTGTGAGTCCATCTACAGGACATTCTGGAGAAGGCAGAGCCATGGAAACCCTAAAACGATCAGCGGTTGCCAGGGCTCGGCGGGGTGGGGGGTGGGGGTAGGCATGAGCAGGTGGGGAACAGAGAGGACGCTGGGTGGGACGCTGTGACGTGGCTGCGTCCTCACACGCGTGTGGGAACCCACAGCAGGTGGTACAACCCCCGGGGGGAACCCTGATAATGTTAAGAACAATGTATCAGAACTGGTTCATCATCTGCAAACGCAAGTTCGGGGAGCGGCGTATATGGGAAGTCTACTTACCGCTCAGGTTTGCTGTGGCCCGAAAACCACTCTAAGAAATAAAGTCTGGGACAACTTTTAAAAGAAAAGAGGAGCAGAGAGGGAGAGCTCTCACACCCTGAGGCCCAACCCGCAAACGCGACAGGCTCATTTCGCGACAACTGCAAGGTGGGCTCCGACCTTTGGTGTCACAAGTCCCCAACTATAGTCATCACGGAAAATGGAAACGCAAGGGGTTATGAGTCAATCACACGGGGCTGTGCCTATCTGATCCTCCTGTGATGGTGAAATCCCAGCCCTGGGGAGCCTTGCCAGGAACAGGAATTATTCCTGGGATCACCAATACTCAGTCGGCAGGGGCGGGGACGTGGCCTGCCCGCTCTGACCGATGGCCCGCCCCGCAGTCCCCATGACGCCCTGCGGTCCCTCCAGGCTGCAACCCTGTCCTCTCTCCAGGAGAGAGAGCGCGTGCTGCTGGAACCGGGACGGGAGCCAGCGGGGCCGGATGTGGGCCCACGTCCATGGCCGGGGGCAGCTGTGTGACCTTGCAGAGCTGACCAAACCCCAAGGAGCCTCAGGTTTCACATCTATAAGCCGCAGCTTGGTCTCATGAGGCATTTTTGGAGTCTATTAAAGTAGAGAAAGTGCCTAGTGCGATGCTTGCCAGATGTCGGTGGACCTCAGCTGCAGGCCTGGTGGTCCCCAGGGCCCCAGATCTCAGGGGCTGCCCTGCAATGGGGGTGGGGATGGGGAGGAGGCCATCAAGGAGACCAGGAGCTCCTGGGGGGGCCATGCCTTTGGTTACACGCCCACCTCACAGGTAGATCATCCTAGATTTGTCTCCACGCTTCTTCGGCCACCTTGTGACGTGGCAGGGTAAGGATGGGAAGGGGGATGGCCGTACTGACCCCAGCTACATCCTTCCCTGGCCCTGTCACCCTGGGCAGGTCACATGCCCTCTGGAGCCTGTTTCCTCCTCTATGAATTAGAGACAAGTATTCCCAAATGTGGGACCCTCGTGCGGATCAGAGCAGACGACACATGTGTAGCCGGTGACCCAGCTGAGCGCCAACCATGTGGGGGGCACATGAGGCAGTGACGGTGATGGTGGCCATGGATGGTGCCACTGGCGACCTCCAGCTGGTGGGGCTCCTAACATCGGCCTTTGCACCCAGTGCCTCGCCCATCAGTGCCCAGTGCTGACTCGGTGCACGGGGCCAACCCAGACTGGCACCTGGCCTCACTGGCTCTTTCCTTGGGGAGCAGGGACAGTGGCTGAACCCCACAAATGCCACCACAAATGTCGGTGCCAAGTTCAGTTCTGTCACCTGTGTGGCTGGCGGGCAGGTGTCCAGGGCACCAAGCAAGTGGGCTCCTTGGCTTCTTTACCCTGATGAGTCAGGAACTCTGGCCTCTTCACCCACCAAGCCTTCCCATTCTCCTCTTCACTCTGTGGGTTCAGGCCCAACTGGGGCCACATCCCACGTTATTCAAGGAAATTCACCAACCTGACATCACTCTAGGTGCCACAACCAAAAGTCCCACGTTGTTCCTGTCACCAAACCTGGAGGCCAGCGGTGATGCCCTTGGGACATGAGCCCTGTGCGGCCTTCCTGCTCCTGTGCGA